CTAGAACATGGCCGATACTGAAGTTATACTCTTGCAGACGTATCATCTATCGCGCCAAATTCCCTCGGAGGTCTCTTGCTGTTTTCAACCACTGCAGGGGTCTATGGTTAGTCTCAGTGTGGATTCGTCTACCTAAAAGGTACGGTCTCCATTTGTCTACTGCCCACACGATTGCTAAACACTCTTTTTCGATTGCTGAGTACTTCTGTTCCGCGGGTGTTAGAACGCGACTCGCGCATTCCACTCTATCAGACTGACTCAAGACAGCACCTATACCATGGTCACTTGCGTCTGTGGCCACTGTAAACGGGCAGTTCTTCCTTTCTAGATCTTCTCAATCTTCTGCTGCCAGACATTACATTCCTGACTCGCGTTATATACTACCTATGTCAATATAAGTAGCACGCACCACATTAGGATTATTACCATTTCGTCAAATTAGTTCAAATTCACATATTGTTTGTTCGAGAATCGGTGAGGATAGTATTTCAGAGAAACAGAACTATACATCAAAAGAATATTCAGAAATAGTTATCCGTAAATTGTTAGATAATAACACAAAGACGACAGTTATCAAAAAATACGAATTCACATTTTGTTCAATCCAATGGTAGGGTTGTGAATGAGTGCCACGAAAACCCCATACTAGGGCGAAATCCGTCAGTAACTACGTGAAACTTCGTAAGTACGTACATCAGTTCGAGTTGCCACATCACATTAACACAGAGATGCAGTTGTCGATTCAAATCCCGTAGTGGTAGAGGTAGTAAGAGTATAAGCAGTAATCGGGAAGATTAGGGTTTGGAGATGTTATTTAAAGAGTATAATCCAGTGAAATAAATTTGGGAAGAAAAAAAAAGGGACAAAGAGGGATCAGAAGATTAGAATTTGGGAGAACACAGAGAGTGGATGCACCTGCGCCATTGCAAACGATTTTGAGCCATGTCATTCAGGGTCTCTAACCATCGGTTGCTATCATCTCGCGGTCCCCAACCAGGTAGTCTACACCTACCAACATGACTCAGTCCACTTGTCAGTGACTTCATGGACTTGTGCCATGTTTTGGTCTGGCCGCCCCTAGCTTTCTTCCAACCTACTCCTATACCACTGAACATAGCACGTCGAGGCAGTCGGTCGTTGGGCATACGTAACACGTGTCCCAGCCATCTCAACTGATGAAGTTTCACTACTTCATCAATTGATTTGCCATCCTTACCTAGTACCCGTTTCCTAACAACTGTGTTACTTACTCGATGGTCCCATGATATACGAGCAATGTTTCGAAGACACCTATGATCAAATACTAGTAACCTACGGATATCCTCTACTCTTACCGGCCATGTTTCACTGCCATAAAGTAGGACGGAACGAACTGCTGCGCAGTAAACCCTCCTTTGGTTGATAGACGGATATCTCGCCTACGCCATAAATGACGCAAGTTGGCAAAAGCTAGTCGAGCCTTCTGTATCCGTGCTGAGATTTCGTCACACACCAGATCACAAGGGCTGATGAGACTTCCAAGATAAGTGAAGCGGTCGACACACTCAACTACTTCACTCCCTATCACTAGTTCGGGTGTCGATGTAACCCAATCCTGAAGCAACATTTTGCATTTCGAGGGGGAGAATCGCATCCCGAACATGCTTGCATTGTTGCTTAGAGTGGTCAGAAGACTCTGCATTTTGTCAGCGTCTTCACCAAATAAAACTATGTCATCAGCATATTCTAAGTCAACAAGTGAACCTCCCGGTAGAAGTTCAACCCCTGGAAATTTAGATGAGGAGAGTGTTATCTCTAAAAGTACGTCAATGACAGTTGAACAAGAATGGAGAGAGTGGACAGCCCTGACGAACACCACTTGAGGTAATCAATTCTGATGACAGTTCGCCATAAGCTCTCACTCTACCAGTTGTGTTCGAGTAGAGAGCCTTTATAAGGTTAATGTACTTCTTTGGTACTCCTTTCAGTGACAAACACTGCCATAGAACCTCACGATCAACAGAGTCGAATGCCGCCTTAAGGTCGAGAAATACTACCATTGTGGGGCGTCTGAATGTGTGTCTGTGTTCTAGAACCTGACGTAGTGTGAATATCTGATCTATACAACCACGTCCAGGTCGAAAACCAGCCTGGTTTTCTCTAGTCTGCTCTTCACGAGCTTTAGTTAGGCGTCGAAGTATTATTGAAGCTAATATTTTAGACACTATATTAGTCAAACTGATTCCTCTGTGATTGTCACAAGAGGACTTTTGTCCTTTCTTATAGACTGGCACAATCAGTGATTGAGACCAGTCAGATGGGATTACGTCCAGTTCCCAAATTCTACCTAAGACCTCGGTTAATCTCATTGCTAATACTGGACCACCATCCTTAAAAATCTCAGGAGTAAACCTGTCAGGGCCTGCTGCTCTCCCTCGTTTCAGATTTCCTATGGCTTTTTCAACTTCGTAAAGGGACGGAGGACCTACATTAACTTGCCATTCAGGTTGACTAGAGATCGTGGGAAACCGAAGTGTGGCTGAAGGCCAGTTGAACTGATCCCTAAAGTGTTCTGCCCATCGATCCAATCTCCTGGATTGAGAATGAATAATATGTCCATCTTTCTCTGAGATTGTTTCGCTAACGGTCGGGTTCCTAATTCCGGTTTCCTTAACGAGTCTGAACAATTGTCTGCTATTACCTATTGCCGCTGCCTTTTCCATCTCTCTTGCTTTCGCTACCCACCACTGTTCGCGATCATTGCGTAGACTTCTTGTCAGCTTGCGCTTAAGCTGACTCCGCTCTTCATTATGTTCAGAGCCAGGTGGAATGAGTTTCCGAGCATCTATCAGTGCGATAGATGCTGCTGAGATCCAGTGTTGCTCCCTAACCTTCTGGTTTACCTTACTAGCAGATATCACTGCTGTTTCCACAGCTTTTCGGATATCATTCCATGCTGCATCGGGGTGGGCATCACATACATGGCTGCCTAACTGTTTTCCTAGTTGTTCCTGAAATATACTCTTAGCTTGACTATCATTAAGTAGGCCCTAAGAGGTTTCCTTGCAGCGTCTTTCCTACGTCCAGTAAGACGCAAGCAAATACGCGCTCGCACTAGAGCATGATCTGAATCTAGGCATGTGCTCCAGAATGAGCGACAGTCTTCTATCGAGCCCCTCCATCGGTGGCTGATAGCGATGTGATCTATTTGGGTCCAACGTTGGGACGAATTAGGGGGTCGCCATGTTAAAAGATGTTTTTCCTTATGCTTAAAGTTAGTATTTGCAAGGAACAGGCGGTTATCTGAGCATAGCTGCAACAGACGGTCGCCATTATCTGTTCTTTGAGCCACGACACCATAAGATCCACCTAGGTGTCTTTCCTTCTCTCTTAGTTTACCTACTTGAGCATTAAAGTCACCGGCCACTATTACTACATCCGAGCGCTAGCTTTTCGGAGAAGGCCGGGAAGCTTTCTGTAAAACTCATCTTCTACATCATCTGAGCTGCAGTCAGTGGGAGAATAGGCAGAGACGACGAAGAGGTAACGACGGGTGTCCCCATATTTCCGAGTCCTTACTGTTCCGTTTAGTCAGACAGTGCACAAACGACTGTCTACTGGGATCCGGTCTAAGAGAGCTAGTTCTGCCGGAAACGGAAATCCGTGAGGTAAGGTGTGACATTTTTAGGGTCGACCTTTTCTAACCCCACCCCTCCTTGTGGGAAGGCAGCATCGCTGCAGATGCTGGTTGTCCGAGGGAAACACCTTACTGCTGCCATATTCCTCTACAGTCGGCAGTACGACTTAGCCCTCAGACCTTGAGTTGCTGCTTTTAGACTTACCGTTCTCCAATCGACCTGCCTGGTATGGCAGAACCTACAGGAACATATGTTCCAGCCAATATAGCTCCGTTGGGTCATCACGATAGGCAAGCCCGACCACCACGTCAAGGTAGCAGCTACGGTCGGGACTAGGGCAAAATAGCTTCCTAGTTTACAATGGTTATTTAGCTTAAGTGAGCCTGTGATGTGAACTCCAAAAATAGTACCCGTAGGATTAATCTAGTCAGGATAAAGTGTTACATCAAGTACGGAAACCAAGTGTAATTATAACAGTGATATATTTCCAAAATACGAAACGTGGATCAAACCTAACACAATTATTTAATATTTTATTTGACAACTAAGTGTTGTGTGCAAATAGACGAAATATATGGGAGAACCACGTAAATGTTAAAGCATACAGTGAGAGAAAAAGTTTATACCTAAGGCGATCGCCAATATGGAGCTTACTTGATAAGGCAGACCAAAACCATTGACTTATGTTTTACCATCACATCGAATCTCTATAATTTTCTGATTTAATGGATAACTGAGAGCAGTACAGGAGATAAACAAATTAATGCGCACCAGTTCATTTCCAATACGCTTTACCTGATAAGAATAAACGTCTTTAGCAGACCCCTCAGAAATTTAAAGCCACTTACTGAGAACATATGAGGTTACGGTGACAGAAAAGATAAGACATCTTAATTTGAATGATCTCCCTATTGCAAACTTTCATCCTGAATAAGATATGGCCAGTTTATCTGAAGAAATTGTCTTAAGATTCCTTGAACGTTTGAAAGAGCTCGATTAAAAACCAAATCCTTAGGACCGATAATATTAGAAGTGCTTATATGAGTCACAGTTTTTGGTTGTATACTCATATAGTAATTTTTAAGAATAAGTAGAATGTGTAGCACATGTCTAGATTGTTACGGGACTCAAACATTTCGACTCCTCATTAATGAATATTATCTCCCGTTAGATACTACAACCTTCTATACCGCATAGTACTCGATCATTATGATACGTTTAAGAAATTAACTGGACATGGCACAGGCGGAATATAAATATTTATACTTTACTCATTCCAAATCCTCGCAAATCGAAATTCTGCAGAATTTAACATAGCACCCAATGATCTCATGAACTGATCAAATGTTTTGATCCACCTTCTACTGGTCTTTTGGCAATAGACTCCTATACTAGAGTACAACACATCCACCACATTCGGCGAGTGGAAAAATGCAAGATCAAAACGAATGGAAATTTGCTTTATGTACAAATATATTATAAGAGGGAATGACTTGATGAAGATGCTAACTAAATTACTTAGCTCGCAAGATCTACAGATAAGTGAGCACACAACTGATTTAAACCGTCCAGTAAATGAATAAAAGCTAGTTATATCTGAGTTGACAATTTATCCATTTGGATTTTTTAAAAGACAAGTACCTATTTATTTGTTAGGATAATATACAGTTTACAGATCTCTGTCATATAACAGATCGAATGTGTTAGTTAAAACTAAATTGGTTAACACAGTTAAAGATAAGTGATGTGATGAAAGGAATATACATTATGACTAGATTACTGAATTATTACATGATCGCGCGTAGATTATTATCACAGGAAGTATTATTAAGTCAGGTCGAGTAGAAAAAACACAGGTGATTATAATTCAACTTAAAACTATTATTAAGCGAAATCACACTATAAATTGAGAAACCCACAAATGAAATCACATCTTCAATGAGTTGGATGGAACCATAATAAACTAAGACAATCACACACTTCAATTTGAACACCGGAGATACATTGATATCGTTAGATTGGGAAGTCAGTTGAAACAAAAAACATATATATTGAATATATGTATAAAGAGGAAATGATCAGATAAGAGAATTAGTGAAGTAAAATATGTTAGCTATATACTTAAAGCAAAAAGTTATGCAATTGAAAAATAGATTAAAAAGAAAGCATATCACATTGAAATTTCAACCTGAAAGTCAAATAAGGAATGAAAAATAAATCAGCTTGAAAAACCTAAAAGAATGTAAAGTATTAAGAAAAGTGTCGTTAAATTGGATAATATGCCACTGACAAACAAATCAAAGCATACAGATATATTCGAATTGCGATTGTAAGATTATATATCACACAACTGACAACGATGAATAAATACGTGGACAACAGAAAATAACATATCTGTTTCAAAGAAGGATAATCAGATTTTTATCATGAAGACAACTTTCAGAAACCGAGTTATTCATTCACTTCTTCATACCTTTTTAATTTACTAAGTTCAAACGGTTTTCCAACTATACGTTCATACAAATCTAAAACATCAGCACAAGTAGACTCAAAATGTGTAGAAGCATCATAACTTGACGAAATGAAAACCTGAAACAAAGGAAAAAAACTTGTTTTAGACTAAAAATTTCTCAACAATGTAGGAACGTATGTTTCCAATTCAGTTAGAGTTTAACGTAAACGTTTTAAATCTGGCATATTCATCGTCAGTTATCATAAGTTTTTAGAATACAACCTGAGTTTGACGAAGAAAACCTGCATTATTCTCGGATTATATTGTTCGCTTGTGTTCAAAACGAATCTTAGAATTTATGTACTAATTTAAGTCACTAAAAAGTAGATTGAACAGAGCAAATCTTGTATGATAACACAAATAACAAAGTTCATTTACACGAAAAAATAAACAATATACACAGCCAAGCAATCTCAAGAGAAGCATTGGACAGTTTGTTTATAATAAACAGTAAACAAACCCATTTACAGATACGACGATACAAACAACCAAACTAAAATGATGCTTATTTTCTCAATTTGTCAGAAAACATCTATTCAAAACTAAGGTCAATATAAATTAATAAGTATCTTGTAAGGACACTTTGAAATCATAACATGGTTTAAAGTATTCAAAATAATTTTAAAAACCATCTTAAACAATTTATAAGAATAACTGACAAAGTGTTTTAATTTGAAAATGCGACTTATACAACAGTTTTGAAGGTGATATATATAACTGGTTAAAGCTATTATGTTCTTGTCAAACTTCTAATTGGTCACACCTACTTATATGGAACAAACATCAATCATGCTTCGGTTTGGGCAACCGGGGAGTACCCAGCACTCATGCAAATCGAATGATCTATGTGGCGCATATCTATTTGGTGCCTCCTCATACCAATGTTTATGTGTTTAAATAAATAAATAAAATACAACATACAAGTAATTTAATCATCATACCTTCAAAATGTTTGTGTCTATTTGTAGAACATACGAAAGTAACAAAATTAATGTTGCTTTTAGATGATAAGTTAGTACTGATTTTATAAGTACATAATATTGAATTTGGCTATTTTGATTCACATCAGATGTTAACTGTTATATCCTCGTGAAGATTGGATTACGAGTAACGGCTGAGACCTATTAACAGACCAATATCATTTATATGTTCTTATGGTATAACTAGTCAGTAACTAGATTGTATATATTTATATTCCCCTTATTATAAGCTTTATTTTGACCTATAGATTATTATTGTACGATTTACTGTTCTTAAGTTATACTCAGTTTATTAATTACTGTCTTTCACGTTCACAGCCACTTTTGGTTATATTTTGTAGGAGTGTTATTTTCTATTTTATGGTGCGTTGTGGTCTGTTTGTTTGGTATATAAACCCAGTATGTCTGAAATAAACGATTCACATAGTGGAGGCTGTTATCGGCATTCTGGACTCAGCTGGACGGGCTAGGCGAGCAACGGACCAATAGGACGCTAGGCTGATAAGACTGGTCGAACGTCATCGATTTAGTACAGTATAAGAGCGAATAAGTCGTATTTTGATTGGCGCATAGATTATGTGATAACTAGCGGACCATAAAGTTACAACATTAACGTTTTCGACACGTGCACATCAGGCATGAGTTTCCAACTTGGCTATTGTAATTATATCAGTCTTAGTCCAGCGAGTTAAACAGAAAATTACTAGTAGGGTAGACTATAGCAATAGTTGTGGTTATCTGATTACTTTCGGGGGATCGCGAAACCTTGAACAACTGAAAGAGATGTTTGAGAAGTGACATGATAAGAACAGGAACATCTTGCATGGGATGAGCGTAGATATGTGAGGTAATCTAGTATCAAAATTACTTCTTATTGAGAGAAAACATGGAAAAATTTTAATTTACATAAGCAATAATCATACCCGAGATTCACGACCATCATCTGTTGGCACAAAAAGATCCTGTACAGAATAAAACACTTGCTCAATGGTTCCAAGAAGTGCTAAACCGGGTTCGAGCTCTTTCTCTGGAGAAGATGTCTCAACGATTGTTGCAACATGTGCCACAAAGAAATTTTCAGGACAGGCATTATGCTGATGAGATACGCATGAAATATAAATATCTAAAAAAATATATCAATGTAACATGCATACGTTGAATGAAATTACCATGTTTTCGATTAACTTCACTTTGAGGAATAATAATTTGGGTTGAAAGAGAGTTCTGTACTTCCGCAATAGGATGTGTCAGAATGCAGATAGCGCGAACAACCTAAAAGGAATGTAATTAGGGTAACCTTATTCATAAATGGTTCGTAATTCCTTCAAAATGGTGTCGATTTGAGGAATAAATCTTAAAATTACGTTCTTAGTGTGACTCATTGTGTGCATATACCAAAAATTGACGACTTCTCAAGCTACTTCAAGCCGTATAGTGTCCTAATACATAAAACACGAGTTGGAAAGTACTAGAAAGAAAGTATTGTATGAGCCACAGTAATCTATCACTACTGTCACGCGGCCTTGGTCTTAATCCCAATACAATATGACTACAAGTTACGAGACACTATACCATAGATCACAATATTATGCACTGTAAATCCAAACTACTTTAATTATGGAGTCTATAACCACAGAAAAGTACAGACTGTTATGAGTTTTATTCATATTCTGCTAATCATATATTGATAATAAACAACCGTACGTTTAGCTTTTCATACCAAGTTACAGAGGATTTTGTGAGTATACCTCAAGATGATTGACTTACTTGATCGACTTTTCTCACCATAGTGGGCACGTAACTTGGATCGCAAATAACCATACCACATTTTGCAATTTTATTATCTGATTTGACCCCAACAACTCTTCCTTTTTCCATCACTAGTTCATCAATCGGTTTATTGAGCATATAAGTTCCACCGTACACAGCGCACAGGCGAGCAAACGCTTGAGGCAATTCCCCCAGTCCATAGAGGGGATAGAGATATGGCGATTTACCGAATCGACAAACGGACTGGCTATACAGTTGCATACGACTTATCACCTCGATAGCAGGGACATTTTCTTTGTATGAATCATCTTGGAACAGACATATTGCATGTCCTATAAAATTCTAAATGGGAAAACATGTACAGTAGTAACTAGACTTTTATTACAGGATAATTCACTTATCAAAATTTAAATCATTCACTGGAAGCCGTTAAGTCAAAACGGTTAAAAAACAAGGGGGAGGAGCATTTATATAAAATAATATCTCCGTAAAAGTATACCAATACTGATGATTCACACTCGCAAATAAATGGTTACTTACTTGGGTTTCTTTATTGATATTAAAACTACTAAAAGCGTGAGAAATAGTATCCTTTTTAATATCCATTGGTGGAGGATACACATAGTTCCATGTAGACGGATTATCTACATCAACATTCATCGACCAGACCAACAACTTTCTGAACCGACGCTTTTCGAAAAGGTCCATTAGTTCTGCAAAATTATGAACATGATGAACGTCATCATACTTGTACTAAGTGCTTCACTTTCATTACATGGTACTTTGTAGACACAACCTGAATGATAAACATAACTTCCTTCTACACTTCTAAACTCTAAGTATCGCGTCACGCCGGTATGAACAAGGATTTGGACCAATTTTCCTGTAATCAAATGTTAACAAAAAGGAAGTTTACGTACCATTCGCCATTAGAAACTTCGAAACCAGATCAACATTCCAGTCTTTAGCACGGTGATACTTAGAAATGTCTGTCTCAACGTCAAAGTACTGGAACAAGGAGTCGATATTTACGGATGTGATATCACCACCGTAGTAACTGTTCTTATCAATATGGAGGACTTTTTTCCCTTCCATAGACATTAGGCTGCTAAGTATACATTCCTTATGAAAATCGAAGACGATAAAAATAGAAAAATAACATTACTTTTAAACCTGTTCCTAAAACAACAACGTCGTACTCATCATCCATAACTCAGCTGTCTGCAAAGTCCAAGGATTTAAGAACACCAGCTGATCTGAGTTCAGTGTTCAATTTGCCTCAAGCACAAATATGTTTGGAAGAAATAGTGAACTGCTTGTTTCTTTGGGTATTCATCTGGGTAGTAGGAAGAAGTTCTTGGTTGTAAAGAGGTATGAATTTCGTTGTACTCGTTCTGTAAACTCAGGGGTAAAACAATTAATTATACAGGTGGTCGAGGGGTAAAAATTAAATTAATTGCCCGTAGTACCAACAGAGCTAAAGTAGCTGTAAAGCCTTCTTATGAGAGTATAAGCGGGAAAATCTTTCACTATAACTTTTGGTAGCGGATTTCATAAATTCCTTATACGAACAACGAAAACGTTTGCACGAGTTTTGTGAAAGCTCCTTCGTGTTCTAACTTGAGCTGCTACCATCATAAGTATAACTTACTACTGAAACGTATCTGTGGCAGGATCAAGTAGAGGGAATTACGAGCATCATGATACATCATGGTCATAAATCCCCAGACTGCTCTTAAGATCACTGTCGGTGTTTAAAGAGCTACCAGATGAAGGCGGTATGTATTTAATTTATTCAATTTTCTTCACTTTTATTTATGAACGTTACGGGAACGTTATATCATTCTTAATGTAGGCGAGAAATACGGAGGTTGTGCCAACAGACGAATAATTTGTAGTGGAAAATAAATCCTTGAAATATAGTTCTGTAAGTTTTCAACATTGATGCCGACCTCATTGGTTCGACTGGACACACCCTAGCTGTAGGCACTTGGTCACTCATCTCCACCAGATCACGAGTGCGTGACCACCTTGTCACGATGTAGACTTCCTTGAACAGCTTCCAAGGAATCGACCCACTTAAACTCGCCGAGCTTCAAAAAGGAGACAGTGATCTCCACAACCCTTAAACTACGCATCAAACAAATGGGAACAGGTAAGGAAACTTTACTGTGTGACACATCTGCAGGTAGGGATCGTTCAATCGTGCCGAAACATTATCGACGCAATGTCTTCAATACATTGCACAAACTTTCCCATCCAGGCGTTCGTTCAACCATCAAGCTTATAGCAGAACGGTTTTGCTGGCCTGGCATGAATAAAGACGTGAGAGAGTGGACAAGCTCCCGTGTAAGCTGCCAAAAATCTAAGGTTATCAGACACAATAAATGTCCCTTAGGCTCATTTAAAACTCACGATGCTCATTTCGACCATGTTCATCTGGATTTAGTAGGACTCTTAACAGATTCAAATGGATACTCTTACCTCTTAACCTGCGTAGACCGTTTCACTCGATGGCCAGAAGCAGTACCTATCAAGGACATCACTGCTGAAACAGTGGCCCGCGCCTTCGTCGAACGATGGGTAGCAAACTTCGGCTGCTCTTCAACCATCACTACAGACCGCGGACGTCAGTTCGAGTCTGAACTTTTCCGTCGTCTGACCACACTTTTAGGAACCACTCGCTTTCGAACGACCACCTTCCACCCACAAGCAAACGGGTTGGTAGAACGCTTTCACCGACAACTAAAAGCTTCACTATCAACTGCAAACGTTTCACAGTGGACCGACGCTCTTCCACTCGTCTTACTAGGTATCCGCAATGCAGTGAAAGCTGACATTGGATACACTGCGGTTCAACTCGTTTATGGAACGACACTTCGACTTCCAGGAGAATTCGTGGATCCTTCGTCCTCTTCAATGAACATGGATCTAACCTCCTACACGAACAGGCTTACAAACGCAATGCGTTCAGTTAAACCTGCTTCCACTCGACCTCAATCAACTGATGTTTTCGTTCAACCTGACTTACGATATAGTACACACGTTTTCGTTCGTCGAGACTCACATCGACGACCTTTCGAATCAGCATACGAAGGACCTTTCAAAGTTCTTCAACGCGAACCGAAGTACTATATAATCGATAAGAACGGAACCAACGATAGCATCAGCATCGATCGCCTCAAAGTAGCGTATTTAGAAGGAAATCCTATCTACGTCGATTTTCCTTCTGTACAATCGAACGACACGACTCCGAAACTTATAATACCTCATCCGACAACCAACACACACGATGTTACTTCGACAGTATCTGAAAATAAACCTAAAACAACGCGTTCTGGAAGAAGAGTAAAATTTTCAGACATTTCGGTGACCATTGCGCGTAAGACACTAGTTAACATTTTGTTTCATCTCGATTTTCCATGGCATTATATATAATATAAAATTTTTTAATATAATTATATTTATATGTATTTATCATTTGGCTAATATGTATATTCAAAAGATTAAAAAAACATTTTGTGAAAATCGCTTTTTACGTTATTAAGATTTCTTCGCCCATTTTGTGTCTTAAAGAGCCTACGAGTTTATTTCGACATGCACTTACATATTATTTTTTTCTTTTCCAGGACGTCTGGAAAAGACGATAAAGAGAACGATGAGGTTTACGATGAACGGAAATTTTCATTGTACATTATTTTCTTGCTGTATTGTATTTCATGGTCCCTTATAGTAAGAAAAGACGACCAGACGCTGTCATGGACTGGCCCATGCGGCAGTGGTCTTACTTTCGCTTGTATCTACTTTAACTAATATATTTCTGTAATAACGTCCTTTGTGTTGTACAGCCTTCAAAGCATCTATAGTACCTTGATACATCAATGGGGGTAGTCAACGTAAGGTGCTGACCACGAGATATGACTTCGACGTTAGTTGGTTCGTCACACCATTCACGTCTAACTCGAGTAGGCCTCCAATCATTTCGACATAGATCATCTACGTTGGTGATCTACAGAGTACCAGATCGCGTCGGGCTCACTACTCAAGATGCCGCAAATATTTTGGGCTCGACAACGCCTCTTAAACGTAACACCCTTATAATCGAAGCATACTATCTCAATCAAATGAGAAGTCAGAAATGAATGGGTTCAAAGATATACTTGGAATGCTATTGATACATCGAGAAGCGATTGGTCTAGGCTGGCTAGTAGTTGAAAGGGATGTGTAGCACGGAGTCCGCACCCGTTATCTGGTGGAGATAAGTGACCAAGTGCCTTCAGCTAGGATGTGTCCGGTCGAACCAAAGAGGTCAGCATCAATGTTGAAAACTTACAGAATTATTTATTTTGGGGATTTATTTACAGCTCTACACCATTTTAGATGGAACTTTTCGAGCCTTTGCAACCATGAGGGAGACTGAATCTATCTACGAACTCTACTTATTCCTAAAATGCGTGGCTCACAGCCTTGTTTTGATAATATAAATGTTGCCTTTGTGCTTCACCAAAGAGATAATTTTCAGACCTTGGTTGATCGAATTGTGATACATAATAATATCAAAATAAGCTTGATGGTTTATTGCTTTAAATACTTGAAACTAGTCACATTTGTTGAAAATAGATTAATAGTCTCGAAACAAATGAAACATCTTTGTTCAATTGTACATTTTTAACACTACCTTTGCTATTGTTGAGTTGTTTGTTTTTATAACTTACCTGCGGTATGAGCGTTTTTAACTGTTGTTATATGCTTTCAATGTCTGAGGATGATAAATGTTTATGACAAAAGCCCTAGTTACCGCACTTCTTTTCGAGCTGCCGACTTTTATTCCCTTTTATCAGCTTATGATGAAACAGTTAGTAGAAACCTTGGGATATCTCATAGTAGTCAAGATGATGTAAAGAAATCATTCGTTTTTCAAGGAAAAGTAAAAAACTAGAAAGGTGAGTTATATCCTACTATTCGATTTCACAGCTATATAAGCTATGAAGTGTTTTTGACAAGACGAGAATTGGTCAGATCTAATGAGATAAGCCTGAAGAGTAGTGATCGAAAATGATTAGGACTATTACATGAGATTATGTTTTTTATGCCTTATTCACATTCACATTGATAAGAGCATAATAAAATAAATAAATAAATGTTATAACCTATTTGATATCACATCGGTCATCGATGGTTTGACCTCATGTTATGAGTCCGTAATTCTTCGAATCTGAAAATCAAATAGTGTTCATTATCAACTACATTAGGTCATTATTCCATAAAGGTAATTTCTTATGAGCTGAAATTGTCAACACTAATAGATCATGTGTGCTTTTTCAGCCTGTAGCTGTTTGTGATAGTTCTGAAGCAACAGCTTACGGTGAGTCAAACAAATTCCAACGTAAGTGGGTCTAGCGAATTTTTTGAAAACATAGATCGCTTTTTTGTTATTCACTAAGACAAAAATAATAACTAGCCATAGTTATGTTGAAGTTCAGTACATGTTTACTGTTCACGGTACCAAAATTATTATTCCCAAAGGTAATTCCAAACACAGTGTTTCAAGTTTTCTTCCCAAAATTATTAAGCAAAGTTGCTTTAAAACAATTTAGTAATAAAATTAAGTAGATTTTTCATGTAGAGAATCATAAAGTAAAGGTCACAATGTTATTTATCATGTGCTAATAATCAGTTAGGCGTTACAACTGAAACAAGTCCGAGGAATAAATAAAATAGGTTTTGGGATGTTGGTAGGAAGTTGAAAAACTTCTTGTTGGTTGCCTAAAAATTGCTGTCAACATTTTTCCAAGGGCATTCGTAGAAGATGATGCTTTTGTCTCGAGTTTATTGGCTAAATTAACTGAGAATATTTTTATGACATTGTGCAGCATTGATAAAAAACGACCTTCGCCAAAACATTAATACTGGAATTTAAGACAATACATATCTATAGATTCTTTTATTGGCACTTCCGTTAATAATTGCTTTAGATGAATTTATAAACGAGAATTCTCAGATTTCGATTTTTGTCTTTGACAGCTCAGTTTGACTCGAATTTTGAGCTTGACCATCTAATTTCATAATGAAATGTGGATATTAATTCCCAGGAAGATTGTTTCAAAAATAATCCATCGAAATTGAAACAACATCTTTCTGTACAGCTAAACTTGCAAGCATTTGTTAAAAGTCATCAGGATGACGTTGTTGGACTTACTCTGTTTGGTACTAGGAGTGATGATAGGAATTGTGGCAAAAGTTTACATAATTGCTTAATTAGTTTTATCCACCCGTTAATGTTTGCCGTTCGTATTCTTATGAAATATTGAAGTATATATAACGATCACCGATTAAAATAGAATTTTGAGAGCAAAGGTTTTAGTTTAACAATCCTAATCCAAATGTTACGCGTATAAAATTAGTACTGCACCTTTTTAATGTGTCAAAAAGCCCTTAATTAGAAGTTAGGCTGAAAACATTGATTATAAAAGTTCCACATGATTTATCACTCATTTTTAACGTAAATTAATAATATCACGGAAAGCATTTACACCTGACAAAATTCTGTCTAATCTAAGATTTCGTCAAGTTGTATAGGTCTAGCAACAAGTATTTTATAGCAGGTGGATGTTCGTGCATCTAATCAACTGCTATTAATTTTTTTCCTGACCTACAGGCTTCTGAATATTTTAAAGTTTGGTACCCTGTTTCACGTACTGTTTGTTTTTCACCACATGTTAAGATACATTGGCAGCTTTAAATTATTGCCTTGATTTTTATTTATCAATATACTGTAACTCAAATATCGTGGGACAGGATTAACTGCTTGTTAAAAAACTACTTTAAACAGCGTTTAAGAGTTTTTAAGGGAGCGTTTGGTTAAGTGAAGGTAAATTAACGAATGTGGATATCTTCCTACTAAAGTAATCATGAAAAAACTTCATTGATTGCATTCGAAAACGTAATACTGCGTTAACTTTTCCTGATTAATTAAACATGGATTCTAGTTTTTTCGAGTCTGGAAGAATAAGGAGTCAGAGGATGCAACCAGTTGGTATTTCTAAAATCTAAATTTTCCGCGCTCTAAAGGATTTTACTTTACATTTTGGTACTCATATCGGAAATCAATTTTTGGTGATTTAAGAGATTTATAGCCAATATACAAAATAAAGGTAACTCATTAAATATTGTTATATTTACTAATGGTATTCGTCTGTTACTTTGTTTTTTTTTACAGAACAAGGATGAAGGATCCTTTTCAAAAGAGATCAGTAGTTCTGACTATCATAAACCCAAAACGCTTCAACATTTATTAGTAAACAACGATGTTAGAGAGTATTCGAAACCTAATCCTATAATTTTTAATGACCTTTGCCAACAAAGTCTAACAGGATTTAGTTGTTCACTCCCACAAGCACTAGAGAAAATTAGTTCTGACATACATAATACAAAATTGTGGACTGATTTACAGACAAACAACAGTTTAAGTATAAACAAAGACTCGCCAAAATTTTCAAACAAACATCAAGTGAAATTGTTAGACCATTTGGAAAGTACAAGGGGGTCTAATATAGTAGTCAGACAAGTTGACGCGACTGCTGAAACGATGACTATTGGATTACCTAACTGTCGAGCTTTACCATCCGTCCAGAAAACACCTAGGATAATACGTGCAAGGATATTTTTTAATCAAATAAAAACTGGATTAAAGTAAGCAGTCATCAATTATGGTATTTGTTTCTGTAATCCTAATTATTATTTTATTTTAAGGCATTCACTGTTCATTTGAATTTCATCAGGAACATCTGGGTTATAAAATAATTTATTTATTGTTTAGCGTGAATAAAAGTAATTGTTGGTTTCTTACCAGAGCTTACTCATTTAAATAAAACTAAATAAACTTCATTCAACTGAAATGCTGGAAAGCATGCCGCACTACAATATGTATTATCTACTCCTATAATAACTTGGTTATTCACATCATCAATCAAGACTCTCGACATTTCACGGCATTTATATTTTTGTCATTTTTGACATTCATGTTTTCGGGAACTTCAAATTATATTAAGCACAAGCAAACTTCTGGATAACTTAAAGAGCTAAAGCAATACTTGTTAACACTAATCTGTTGAATCAATTGTAAAAGAGTGTGAGGAGCTGCTATGATAAGAGTAATTTTATCATATCGGCCAGCTAAGATATGTATTCGCGTAGCAATGATGTGTATGTCAAACGTAACCTATTACACAGTATCACTTGCTAAAACTATTTCGTTGCTTTTGTTAAATCTCTAACAGATACTCTTCAAAAGAGATGAACCATGATAGTTTCATTTACATTTGCGACGAACTAACTCCAACTAAATTACACTGACTAGAAAATGAAACACAAGCTTGTACGTGGAATTCATCTTCGCAAGGTGACTGATCATAATGGAAAGTGTTCGGAAGTACATTAGCAATTAGTAATTTTTGCTTGTATTAGTAATGATACTGATAGTTGTAAGATTTTATGATTAAGATCTCATCATATCAGTACCATTAAACATGATGTTTAATAATCTTCGAATTTTAAATCAGCCATGCCAAACTTAGTTTACACCTTGGACTCCTTCATCTTCAATAGTAAATAATTTAAAAGTTCTATTATGTTAATATGTGTCGATTCCTGAGCTACATTTTGCGTCTTTTATTTCTGAAAAACTTAAACCATTTGGCTGCTATGACAATTCATTGTTTTCAGTAATTATGTCTTCTATATTAGGCTTACATATGTACAGATATGCTTCGCGAATCTTTTGTAGCATTTAACTTATGAATAGTATTCTGTTAACAATATTTGGTTGTGGTAGATTGTTTAATGATAGAGTTCTAACTCACCTGAAATTTCCGTTTTATCAAACGTTCTTTAGCTTATTGTATACATTTCTAAGATGATCACTTGTAGCCGAACCAAAGATGAAGATTCAAAACGTCACGTTTTTAAAGGTCAACAATTAACCTGGTGAAGGTTATCCTCTAACTGTAGGATTAATAGGTAAATTTTTTCCGGGGTTTATGTATTGACCAGATGATTTTTATGTATTCAAAAACTTAGCATCAACATACGACAGTTAACGAGTTAAGATTCACATGGACGACATACAGCTTCCTGATCATTAACCTTACTTATCTGAAAATGTTGTCTAGGTTTCTTTAAAATAATATGCAATATTAAATACAGTGTTTAAATAAAGTCAATAAAAAACTAAATAGTGAGTTGTTTTTTGATTCAAAAGGAGAGTTTGCTTTAAAGTATCATTTTAATAATTACCATGATATAAACAATACTAGTTTTCCGTTTTAGAGAACATATTGAATGGCATACAACCCAATTACAACAAGCAGAATTAGACCAAGATGTAATATCAGCTAATAAGGTGAGTAATTGTTACTAATCCCTTGCTAAAAATGTAAACCGATCGTACTTGAAACAATGGAAAATCATTAAGTCTACTTCTATTATTACTACTAGTGTGACTGCTACTTCTATTATTATTATATTCCTTTACATGTTTGTATAGAATTTGGTTTATAACTTAATAGTATAGATTGTGATTACTTTTTTGTCGATGAATATAACATAAAAAGGTGACAGTCATGATAATTTTACGGCGAAATCCGAGAACTCCATGTATACATGGATAGATTTATAATTTGATTGTATTTATAGATAACGCAAGAATACTGCCGTTATTCCAACTCAAAGCAACAGCTTAATCAGTATAAATCAAAACACACTACAAATTCCATTTGTGATCTCAGATATTTTAATTAGTAAATGTGGATTTTACAGGAATCTGTTTTCAGGAAGAGCTTAAACAAAACATTACTATGTGACTTAGGTTTGAGAAATTTCAGAGATTTAGTTGATGGTAGAAGTCTTCCAAATGTGACAGATTCGGTGATCGTTAAGGTTAATAAGAAAGATTAATTTAATTAAAGTATCAGTCAGTCAAAATATCACTAAGATAAACGGGCAGTTGATATATTTTCAGAGTGTATTGACATAACTGCCTTAAGCAATTTAATAGGCTGTTTATTTAATTTCCAGGGTGTGTTGATCTACCAATATTAAGTTTGCTTTATTTTTCCCTTAAGTGTTATTTGCAACTTGCGTGGTTGTGCCAAACGTTTAGAATGCTGAAACAGTTAATCCCGGTGGAAACCAAAAACTATTTTGTACGCTTAGAGGTTGCTTGGGGTCATGGCATTGAGCTCACTTATATCTAATTCACTTACTGTTATTTCGTCATTTTCTAAAAGAAATGACATTATTTTTGAATATATAACATAGTATCTGACCCTGGTATGTATGTTCATACTATACATGTAATAGCCTTTTTTATTTGAGGCCTGAAATTTCCTTATATACGATCAGCTCTTCAAAAACAGTTAAGATTTATTTCAGGTAACAAGTCAAGTGGATAGATTCTCATATTCTAGATTCTAAAACTTGGATACTTTTACAAGGTGTTCCAAAAGGAGATAGGCTACTTTCGTCTTTTATTTATATAGGAGATAGGTAAAAAGTGAGTAGCGTTGATACCAATTTACTTAAAATATTTGGCTAGTAGAAGAGACTTCCGGGGCTGCTACTATGTCAAGCCCACATAGGCTATTCTAGCCTCTGAACAGATCAACCTATTCATTATACTCAAGCCACATTTTTACAGTCACTTATTCGCTTATCAATCTTAGCTTTTTTACATGATCATATGTGTGCTAATTACTTACCTTATTCATTATGTATCTGTAACTTATTTTGGTTTGACTACAAATATTGAGTAACGCTCGATAAAAACGAGTTAGCTCACTCACCCTTTCCACAGCGCGTCATTTCGTTTAGCGTCACTCTCCGATCAACTACTGTACGAAATGTATGTATTCAAAGATTCATTCTCGTATTTGACTTATTTAATTCCGTTATTCACCAACGCCATTTATGTCGATAATTGCATACGAGAATTGGCGACATGTATATTTTGATAACAAGCAGCAAACCGCCTACCTGGAGTCAGATCCCAGGCCAATAAAATATAATGATGGACATTTCGAGCCTTTTTATTTGTAATTAATGTAATCCAAGGTTACTGAATATCAGTTTTGCTCAATATCATTTTGAACCTTTTCCTCTGTGTAATTCTTCCTACCACTGAATTCCAACATATTTCATTGTCACGTGGTAGTTCCTCTACTCAGTCCCTTATTTTTCAGTTCATCATGAATTATTTAACTAGGATAATTGGTCAGCAGACGATTTTGCTTAGCTGGATATGAAAACCTGATGAGCATTGGTTGTATTATATTATTAGTGGTGATAATGAGATAACCAGTCATATGACTAACATGAAAAACAAAAATCAGAAGATCGTTGTGTCACAGTGTAGTTAATAATAACAGAATTCAAGCATTTCCGTTTCTTAATACTGAAGTATATTTTAAGAGCTAAGAAGACTATAGCAATTAGTAGCTCAAACTGTAAATGTAAAATCCTCTATAAATAAACAATTAACTGACATTTTTAAACGTTACTGTTTTACTTATTGAGACAGACGTTTCCTAACATTAGTGAAATTTGTCTCGACAGACCCAGTCGATGACATTTTAAGTCCTCGTCAACCAATTTACTACCTATACGCATAATTTTAGTATTACTCGCCATAAATAACACTTGTAAGTGCACGTTACCAGTCTACTTATGTTTTCAAAAGACGTGGTTTGCAATTTAAAGGCAATATAAAGAAAAATGGTGTCTAATTCACTCGGTAGTTGTTGACCGGATGGACATCTCACCTATCCCACAGGTAGTTTGAGTTGGCAACTAACCAGAGTAAATTCCGCATCCGTGGGGAGATTTCATTAGACACAGATTCATCAGGGATGGCCTAGATTGATAAAGCAATCAGAGTGTTCAGCATTTTATCTAATTTGGTCAAACTAGACTGGATATTATAAAGTTGCTTCGGAATATCCAAGTGATGAGCTCGAGTTAAGATAGCGCTATAAGTTCTGTCAAACTTTTAATAACATAGGCGATATCATTTATGCACATAAATACATTTACTGATTCATTTCTAAGAAATCCCCAAAATAATCATTTAAAAAATGCCTATATAATCTTAAATCCTTTTGTAATATTTTCATATATACTGTAAGTATAAGTAGGTAACAGTTACCAGCTAACAAAATCATTGAAATTCAAATTATGCTAGTATCAGAGCCTTCACATTTTTTCAAATTGATCTCGAAGCATAAATCTAAAAAGAATAAAAAATATAGAAATGTTTATATCATTATATATCTATAATTATTTATTTATTAGATTATTTGGTTAAATTTTTAATGTTCTACTTTTTCCAAATACAAAGATGTATGAATGTTGACTAGCATAGTGTGATAGGAGGTGTTTTTATACTTTAAAAAACGATAAATAAAATATTTTAGTTAAATTTAGTATACTTTATGTATGTGGAATAATAGAAAAAAGAACACTATGCAAACCTACCTGAACACTTACAGTAAATAGAAATTACTAATTAATAGTTTTATAAATTCCTAATGATAGTAAATGACTCATTGACAATTTCTTATTTTAACATAATTCAATGATATGTAGTTCTTCATAAGTAGAACAAATATTTTAATACATTCTCAGTTTAAATCAATGATGAAATTATACCTAAATATACTGACAAGTACAGCATACACAAAAGAAGATAGTGATTGTAAAATTTGTAGATTGACGTACTGGTACTAAGTGATATTATTATTATTATTACTATTTTTATTATATGGTTTCCTCCATGAGGAAGTCGACTTTTTCTCAAACGTTTACTTATTTTATAATAATCATAATAATGATAAATTAGTTAATGATGACGTAAAATAGAAATATCCAAAGTTACTTTGAAAAGAAATATTCTCAGAAACATCACTTTTTATTTAATTAAGTGACATTTTCATTATTTATATTATTTTGCTTATATTTGTTATATTGTGTGCTTTCCCTTGTTCTTTAAATTTTTCAGGCATTAGAAAATGTCAATCAATTACAGCATAGGTTGAATACAGTAAGCTATGCTACATTTTTCTATCATATTTTCTTTAGTTTCACTTATATTGATGTAGATAGGTTTTTAATCACTAAAAAGTATACCAGATAATACTTATATAAATAAGAGTATTTACTTGTTATAAAAGTGATGGAACTCATTGACCTGGTCAGCTCAATGAAGAATATAATTATGCACAATTAAGTGACCTACACTAAGTGTTGAACGTTTAGTATTTTCAATAAACAAATGTCGCAGATAAATCGATTTATTTGTATATGGTGTTGAGGGCTTTATAATGCCAGAAATCGTTAGCTCGAAGTCCGCTGTGTAGTATGTTTCAGACAAAATGATGTGTTGGAATGCAGTTTTCCTTTTCTCTTAACTTTTCAATGTCTTCGTTAATTTATATTTCTATCAGTTCATACTTCGTGTTTTTTCCAGTATCTTTCGATTTTGTGTTATACTTTTATATAAGTCTATTAAGTAATATCGAGTGTGATTTTTTTTACACAAAAAAGAGTCATAAATAAAGTTGCAACAGTTAACTATTTGACATATGGTAGTAATAATTAGAATAGTTGAGAATATTTCCACGATGTTGGACGTAGAAAATATCTACTTTATAGACTTTTGATAAATGAAATTTTTCCTACAAGTAGATAATGTGATTTTGAAAGAAATGCTCTTTATCGTAATTTCAACTTCATTAACTTGTCAAATTGTATTGATGAAGTTTCTTGGAGTGCTTAAAAACTACTGAGTCATGTCAAGCTATACATATTTAATTCTACGGAGACAACAAGTGAATTCGTATATCAGTAATTGTTTACCATCGTGTAGTTTGTACATGTACTTATTGGTATAACAAGATTATAAAGACTTTAACAACTGAACTCAGTAAGCTAAGGATAGCGTACTCACAACGAAACCTAAAGGTCAAACGTTCAGTCAAACATGTAGTTGTGACTGCACATTACTGAGTAATCCTGTATCAGAACGATGTCGTTATATGGTCAAACCACATATAAATTGAGAGTAAGGAAGAATAACTATAGTAGAAAAATAACAAAAATTCATTTATTTAATCGATTTTCTTCAACTGTTTAGCGCTTAGAAGTTTAATATTAATTATTTAGGAATAAAACAGCATTCATCCGTTTCAGGAGAAAAGTCGGAATTGAATTTGAGTTTGACGTGGTGATGTAGGTTAACAAACAACGAGGAATGATTGAAAAATGAGTTTAAACAGTAGTCTATCTACAAATCAAATGTATAAATATTCTAGGAGATAAAACTGATAAGTGTAAGGAATCGATAGTCTTCAAATCGGAAGGTTAATGTCAGGGTTTATGTAATGCTTAAAATGAAATTAATTATCTCAGTAAAGTTCGTATAAGAATGAAGATATCAGATGCTATAACTAAGATGATAGAAAAAAATTATGATCCTACGTTTACGCAATGTTCACCGCTTTCGCAACATACATCATCTATATATGCTGTAGTCTAACGCTATGAATTTGTCTGAAATTTACTGAAGTCTGTTAAACGGATTTGGCCTTTTCTCGGTTTCTTCTAATTCGTACATGCAAGAACATAGACCATGAACTATAATGGCTAGTGGTCATATTGCAACTTCGTTGAAACACATTTGTCAATAATAAAGACTAAATAAACATAAGGTTAGTTAATACTCAGGGATTAATGGTTGGAGAACTTCTTAACACTTAATACACACAATCAATTGACTATAATGGAATAAATAACTTCTTGATTAAAGAACAGTCAATTTTAAAATAAATTTATATTCTTAATTCTGTTCATTAGCTATTCTTTACCTTTCTTTAAATATGCATGTTAATATAAATACATATCCATTAAACAATGATAAATCATACATGATTGTTGTACTAGATGCACAGAGCAAGTATGACTTTAAAAAATTTAATTCATCATAGAACTGATATAATTCGTTATTAGGACGAATTTTTGGGCAGCGTTAAACGGTCAAACTATTTATAGTAAACATATTATACAATTGGTAAGAATTATGTATTTATTTATACCTGTTCGGAAATTATTGATGTTTTTTATTATTGCATATACGGCGCCCTGTAACGAAATATACTTCAATTTTATGGTTTTATTAACTTGCTGTAGTTTAAAGATGGTAATATTTTAATAAAAAGTACACCATGAATCTTGACTAGAATAATAATGAAGCTACATTTAATATTTACACATACTTATACTATTTAAAAAAACTTGAGTACTTTTACAAGGAAATAATTAAAAGATCAAATTATACACATATGTACATATATTTATTGATTTTTAGTTGCGAATCGAACCGTATAAATAGTAGACCAAAGACTGTTGTGAATCAGTTAATTTTATTCATTTTTCATTTAGGTCAAGTTGTAATTAAGTAGAGCAAGAAAAGTATCGATCATTAGAGTTTGATTTCTTTTTTCTTAATGATGTCGAATTCATATACATTTGTATTTGCAATGACCTAGAACATCACCTTGGTTACAGTCTTGTGACTGATCACTGTGTATAATACAGTTAGTTATAGAAGATGCCAGTGAAAGTTCCAGTAGTTTAAGGGTTTTTTTTATAGTACAACACTCAGTGATATCAGTTTAAATTGTCGAACGAGTGTTAGTTTTCATGATATGATGTGTACTCTATTGGACCTACATCATACAACGTATTTTATCGATTATTTTAAATACTTAGTACTAAACTTAAGTTAGTAATATGAATAAATTTTCAGTTTTATAAAAGGTATCTTCTAACTAGTTGGATGTTCACATAAGTTAAGTGGACTATTTTAACTTCGCTTCGAGAATCATGTAGCCTGTTTATAACAAAAAACGCTCCTATGCATAACTTAAAATAATCTTTAAAATAAATTTAATGTAGATAAAAGTGAGCATTCAGCAGGTGATTTGGAAGATAAAGACAACATATGACTGAAGAATCTGGAGTTTCTTTTGTCATATAGCTTCACTTAATAATTTTTTGGAAAAACGTGGTTTCCATATATGTCAATACCACATTTTCATAAGTCTATCTTTATATAGTATTAGAAACATATGACAGAAAGGATTTGAATTTGGTCATTCCTGTCATTTATTATAAAATTTGAAACATGTAGGTTTTAAATCGGTGGTTGTAAAGTTTTCGATCAATCACCAAAAATACAGAAATAAAACATCTCTAGCCCCTATTTGTCTACTTTTGCCCGTTGACTTTGAAACTTCGTGAGTAGAAATATAAGGCTTTATACGTCTGAACAATAACTTGCCGACTTTGCCACAATTATCTGATTGACTGTCCCATATAAATTGGAAAAATGTTTTACCTTATTTTCTAATAAATTGTTTTAAATTACACTTGACTAAAATGACATTCCTACATTTCAATATTAACACGCATAAAAACATAGTGTAAACAAAAACACATATTCTCAGAGCAGACTTTTTAACAAACAGATACATCATGATGAAATGTGTTTTCGTGATTGATCAGAAATTTGGATCGCTAGCTGTTTATGGTTTAGCTCGTATATACTCCGATTAATAAAACGAAAAAATTTAAACAAAGAAATATTCGATGTCTGGCGAAAAATGTAAAACGAAAACGAGAATGAGCTAATTGCATTACTTTGGGTGTTTCACAGTTCATAAAGTGTTAGGTACTCAAAGTTATTTAAGCTTAATGAGATTTAGGCAAACAAAGTATTATGCAAAACTATGACTGTAAGTAAAGTTTCAAACGATTCATTAATTATTTTTTAATATCGTCCGTGTAATTTAAACAGAACAGTACTATTAACTGAAATGTAGTTTCTTTTCCCAAAGTAATATAAATTTATGTTTTGATAGTCCACATCATATTTTTATGCTTGCTTTTAGATTCGTTGTCTTGAACATGAATATATGAAACATTGGAAGCTATACAGAGGTAAGCGGACCGAAAACGTTCCTATCTAATTAGTTTATGAACATTTTAGACAAAGTTTCTGGGTTTTATTCTATACAAACCTGTAAAGAAATATTTGCGATAAAATATAAGATCATAAATGTACAGTATTTTACAAAATATTCATAAGTTGCAGAAAGTACTAATATGAACCAACTAATCTGACAGAGATCATGAACCGATTGATGTTAGACCACCACCTTTAGAAACCTGGAAGCACTGAACGGCCGTTTCATCTTATTGTGGGACTCCTCAGCAGTGTGCACCCACGATCCCGCTCACGGGATTCGAACCCAGGGCCTTCGGTTTCGCGCGCGAACGCCTAACCCCATACTAGTAATCAACATATGCTTACTAGTGACTAGCTTCGTGAGGGAATTCTCGGAGTTCTAGTGAGGAGCCGTGACCAGTGGAGCTAATCCATGTCGGGTAGAGACAGGTATCTACCTCAGTACAACGGAAGTTGGTCGCGCAATTTCGTGGATTGGTTGGGGTTAGACACTATCACGATTGGATGCCGGCTCAGTGGTCCAGTTGGTTAAGTGTTCGCGTGCGAGACCGAAGGCTCTGGGTTCGAATCCCGTGAGCGGGATCGTGGGTGCGCACTGCTGAGGAGTCCCACAATAAGATGAAACGGCCGTTCAGTTCTTCTAGGTTTCTAAAGGTGGTGGTCTAACATCAATCGGTTCATGATCTTAATCAAAACTTAATAATCTCCACAACCCTTATACTAGTAATCTGACAGAGTTACATGTACATACAGTATTTTAAGTTAATGTATGCTTGTTTAGTCTCTATTAATACTTATCATCTTATTGTTTATATGTCTCACTTACTGTTGAGTAATTTTTTTATACATTATTAGGAATTAAGACAACTTGACTCAATGTACATTTGTAAGAGGTCCTATACCATTGAATATATATTATTATTGTTATATTTTCACTTTTATGGAACAACAAAAAGTAAGAGCTGATTTGAGGACTTCATAATTTTTAAACAACTGTGCGAAATTAGTCTATTATAGTCAAACTAAAGTTTAATGCTTAAAAGACCTTATGCCAAAAATTCTTATCAATAGAGAGTGCATAATGGAGTATAAAAAAGACAATTTTTTGTTTCTTAAGTCGCTCATAGTTTAGAAATTACCTGGTTAATAGGTAAGTGGTCAATATATATAAGAATGTTTGTAAAAGCATGCGCATAAAGATTTACAAGTAACCGATGGGGTACCATTGTTTACAGGTTATTTTAGATTATCATTTATGTTTTCTTGGTGTAACATTACCAAATTCAAGAGTTCCACCAGGAAGGCTGTGATTTAATACTAAAAGAATGATATACACTTGCGAAATAATGTAGGCATTATTTTTAAAATGTTCGTCGGTATGCATCCATATAATTACACATTCCAGTATTGTAATTATCTTGTAAGTATCAAGCTATTTTAGAAATGTATTTACAATTTTTTCTATTTATTCGGTGTTTAATGTCTAACACTTTGCAGTGCTTCATATATGTTCTGTTGATTTCCATTATTTATTTCGGTATATTTTACAAATAACTATCGTTAGGACGAGATATTTTTATGGAGAATATAAAAAAATACTAAGCGGAAGAAGTTCCATTTTTGTCCAATGAATAAGTGGAACAAATTTACAATACACTGTGAGCACGTAAAATACCAAAAGGTAGATTTATTTACGAATTGAGTGAAACCCACTGTTTTTACTTATTAAGTCTCTTTCATTATTGAATACCATAAAGGAGTTCGAAACAAGAGATGCTAGGTTTGAGATTCAAAGGGAATAGAAACGCAGATAATAATATACGACCGAAGGGCTTAAAACAAGACTAAATGGTCTTTCTGAGTTCTATTGTAAAACACTATCGAAGATATAATCAACATTTTATATTAAAGACGTTTGAGCCATCCGGTTAAAATATCCACATACTAATAGAAAGTCATAATCTCAGTCCAATATCGATTGTCAGTAACAGTTTCCGAAGTAATAAAAAGAAGGTAGCGAAAAATAAAATATTGTGACTATGCTCTCATCGATGGTTAACGTCATGGTTTCAAAAGAGAGCTATTTCAAAAAAAGGAAGGTTTATGAAGTTTTTGACTTAAGAAGAGATTTCACTTATTTAATATATAAGAACGTTTAGAACATTAATAATCTGTTCTGAAACAGCTAACCTGCAACAGCATAAGTGTAGATCACCACCTATTTCTGACCTATATTAAACCAATAGATGTAACTTCACAAGAAATGTCAGACAGTACGCCAATGATTAAAAATCTCCGCAGAAATAATGTCAATTTTTATCACTTTGTAAAGTTTCTCAATAAGGGTAAAGTATAATTGGAATAAGACGATTAGTCATATACTGGTATGAATGAAGCAGCATTCATCTATTATATATATTCTATAAATGTTTGCATCTTATGCCATAGAAGAACATTCGTGTTAAAGAAAATAATAACTAGTAAAGTATGTTAGACCAAAAGTGATGAATAAAAGTTTAATTACCTAAGCTATTGATAAAAATAAATTGTCTACTAATAGATGGGTCCTTTATGTTGGCATGGAATGGACAATTAAAACTAGATTTTACCGATTATAAACTTTATATTGACAAATAAGGATGAGGAGTAGGTGAGAAAAAATTATTCTTTTTTTCTTTAAATACTACAAGATATCACTATGGCGTTCCAAAAAGTCTTTCATATCTCACAGGAGTAAAACGTTTTAAAAACATCTCACTAATCTAAAACTACGTTAATGACATTTTTGATAGTCACATTTCATTAGAGATATGAGCAAATATACTTGAAAAGGATTGCTGATGGTAACAATGTTATCGATGGTAGTTTGACTGATTTAATCTCAATCCCTATATATATATATATATATATATATATATATATATATATATATATATATATATATAACACAAAGAACTCATTATTTGATTTTAAAAAATGCTGAATGTAATATATGTTCATTCGGAAAACAATGATTGAAGGAATAATTTTTCAACAGTTGCTTTTCCTAATTATAATAAACAATTTTTTTATTAAAACATCTATTCTAAGACAAGCCTAGACCCTTTAAGCAAGAGTAGTCGGTACGAATATTGCTTTACAATAAATTGAGTATTCTCATTCCTAAATATGACTCTGAATAATATATACAAATGTACACAGTGACTCTTCATCAACATTGAACGAGTTTTAAAGCCAAATAGAAGTAATCCAGAAAGGTACATTTAACTTCACTTTTACCGATATTCTACTTCTCTCCGTATCTTATCTTTCCCTTCTTGTGCCGGAATAAACTTATTATTCCATAGCATGTAATTATCGCAATAATCCTGATAACACATCTCTACCGTCTTTTATTATATCCAGTAATTTTGCTTGTACTGATTTTATCTAACAATCTAATAAAAGTCATTTTTTACGACAGGATTAACACATACACATTTTCAATATAGTGAAAACTCCCATTTCTTACATAATTACGTCTGTTACCCCTCGTGAAAAAGCATAGGCCACTCACCAGCATTCTTCATTGAACTCTGTATTGAGCAATCCTTTCTATTTGCTTCCAGTTGTTATTCATCCTTTTGATGTATGCTTCCAATTCTCTACGCAGTGTGTTCTTTGGTCTTCCTCTTTCTTGTTTCCCTCCAGCATTTCAAATTGGCTCTTGATTTGTGATGCAATTTGGTGATTTCCTCAATGTATGTCCTATCCACTTCCAGTGTCCTTTCTTAATTTTCTCTTCAAATGGAAGTTGGTTTGTTCTCTTCAACAGTAGGCTGTTGCTGATGAAATCCGGCCAACAGACACTGAGTATCATGCGTAGACAATTGTCCATAAATACTTCTACATTTTTGATGATGGTTGTATTAGTTCTTTAATTATCAGCTCCGTACAGTAGAACTGTCTTGGCGTTCGTACTGGAGATTCTGACTTTGAAATTGGTTGACGGTTGTTTTGAGTTCCATACGTTCTTCGACTGTGGGAGTGCAGCCCTTGCTTTGCCAATCCTTACATTTACGTTTGCATCGGATCCTCCTTGTTCATCGATGATGCTGTCCAGGTGCGTGAAAGTTTCCATCTCTTCCAGAGTTTCTTCATCAAGTGTGATTGAGTTGGTGTTCTCCGTGTTTTATTTGAGGATATTGGTTTTCCCCTTGTGTAAGTAAGCAGAGACTGCTGCTACATTAGTAATCTAGAAGAGCTACAAGCGGATTTATTTAACTCATATTTGTCAAGAAATAAACGTTTTTCAATCTTTTGAATTTCGAATCTCTTTTATTTGTATGATATATAGCAACAGGTTATTCAATTCTAATTACATACAAATCCACAATTAGCAGCAGCCAATGGTATGTTTGTCCAATACTTCGTGTTGATAAAATTCTATAGACTAGGTTGAAATATGCCCGGTAATCTTAATGACTCTATATTACCTAGATTATGATTTAATGATTAAGGGCTTAATACAATCTGTAGGAAGTCTTACACCCGAGTTTCTCTCTAGTTATTACTTGTCAGCAAAAGATTTCTTCAATCCTGTAACATTTGAACCCACAATGTCCAATGAAAAGTTATCAAAACATCTAAAAACAGTTTTAATATTTATTGTTCATTTGAATCATTTGTGAAGATTAGTTCATTTTGAGAATAGTTTACGTCTCAGACCGGTATCAGATAAAGAACCACGTGAGATGGGTATGCACTAAACAGTTCTTTCATACTGGCTTATAAATGCTCAGCGGTGTCCATTAATGGCAGCACACAGCATCGATCTAAATGCATAGTATTAGTAATCCAGTTGACTGTAATTTATTGACATCGATTTACAAATAAAACCATTCCACTTGGGTTTGATATCACGTAGGTTATGTGTGCTCAATATTGAAAAGTCTCAAATTAAGATCAGTCACTGTCGGCTAGCAATGCAGTCCAGAATGCGCATTTTGTCCTATTTGAGGCTCGTCAGCCGGATGTACCTGAATCTCAGAGTTGGTGATTACTTCGTAACTCTAACTCAATACCGTTCACTTCAAAGGCCGTCGAGTTATCTACTAGTAGCTCTGCTTAAAATACTTGTGACTTAAGGCAATATCGAGGCAATCCGCACAAGGTTCACATATGTTGATGAGAGACTGACCGATTGCTTTCCTGAACATCAACTGAATGGTTCAAACAACCAATAAAAGAAATGAATTATCTTCAAACATCTTATCTAGTTGACTTTATACTGAGTAAATTTATAGGATAAATATATACCTATAACTTTATTGTTTTGAATAGTGACTTTTTTGTTTCGTACAAATTAAAATATCTAAATTTTCTTTTTTGGTATTTGTCTCGTAGAAATCCGAGCACGTTCACAAGGTGAATTGTATTGTGATCAAGTTAACAGTGGTAGTAGTGGAAGTGGCAAAAGTGGTGAAGAAAGTATTCAGTTAAGTCAGTGTTCAACAAATATGAACAATTCATCACTTTTATCTAAAAATAAACTAAGCAAATCAACATTAGCTTTAACTGGATTTAATGGATCAGATCATATTCAACCATCAACCACCAGTGTCAATACAACTAATCCCTATCAAAATCATTCTCACCATAATAATAATAGCATTTGTGACACAACAAATTATTTACCAACCATAATAGAAAAACGTCCAAAATATTCTTCCTTATTGAATTTAATACGACATAAATCAAAGAAAACGACAAATAATTATTTATTACAAAATGAAAATCGTCCACGTGCTGCTACAACAGCGTCACCTGTAACAACAACTGCGGTAGATCAGAAGCATTCATTCTTACACTTGAATAGACCAAGTAATTTAGATTTAACAACAACTCATATACCATTGAAAAAATCTGCTACTCTATTAGTTCATAACAACAATAGCCATTACAATAAGGGGTTAAGTAAATCCAGGAGTAGTGCGCGTGATTTAGTAACTAATGATGCTAGTTTTAAACAGCAACAGGAAGTTTTATTGAAACGTTTATGTCAAATAGAAGCTCAAACGGAATATTTATCTGGTACACTGATATGCGAAGTGATTGGAGTCAGTGGCTCAGTCTCCTCGTTATCAAAAGATGTTTTCAGGATATCACTTAAATATGATACACCAGTATTGTCTTCAGTATATGAACTAAAAAGTGATAAGGAATTGCCAGATGTTGAACCACTGTATACATCAACTGTTCCTTTAAACCAGAAAGGTGGTTCAAATGATAAATGGACGATTACTGGTCGTCTCTTTTCTTCTTCATCATTTTCTCCCTCCTCTTCTGCACCAATTTCTAATTCGTCAAAATCATCAGCTCACTTCCAAGCAACTTACTTAAATGATGTAAATTTAAAATTTCCTGAACAAAAATGGGATCAAACTAAGCATATTTTTAGTCCAACAATTGGTGATGTATTAACAATAAAAGTGAGATATCAGCATTTATGACTTTTTATGGTATATCTATTCAGTCTCATAGGTTTTTAGTGAATCACAAGTAAACTAGAACTATCAGTTATATTTATTAGCATCTAGTTATATACCAGTCTAAAATGTTCACACTCAATTATATAGGAATAGCTTTAAAGTACTTTAATACTTCTCGAAAATTAAGTCGAAATGTTAGTTGTTTAGCTTGTTGATATGTATGTATAAGCAAGTAAAATCTGTCGATTAAGCATTTCTTTCTCAAATATATCAATATTATGCAAATACCACATTGACTTAGTAACAAAAGTCAATCCATAAAATCACCTTGTCTGTAATAAATTTTAACTTACTATTCATAAAATGACAAGCGCTACATAGTATGAAATATAGTTTTTCACAATTAAAATAAAGTGTTAAATATTGTAGTTGAATAGTAATAGCTCAAAAGAACTTTTTCAAGAGATGTGACAATAAATTCTTTATTATTTTTATCAGTTTATCTATTTTAAACCATAAGTTTAGAAAGAACAATTTCATACTTACGAGTGTTGATTTTAGTCATTAGTTTCAAAGCAAGCCTTTCTGGACAACAGTTTTTAACAAAATATCACTAGAAAACTGAACTTCGTCTTCTAAATTGTCAAGTAATCAGAGAAACTAAATGTTTTCATAATAAAAATGACTAAACTTTTTTTGGTGTACAAGAGGATCTAACTGTGACAACCCAAAAGTTGAGTTTTCTCAACAGGATTTCACCAAATAGATTTTTCTATTCATTCATAATTACATCTCTTTAAGATTGTACGTGATAAAAGAATAAATGTAGTCAATGACGTATTGCTAATTATTCAGCGTGAACTTACAGGTGTCTATAAGTAATTTATTTTGGACATTGTGGATACTTTGGCTAGTTATTTTTTTCATCTCTTTTTATGAATTCTTTCTAAGGTAACTGTTTTCTTTAGATCGTGAAACGGGTTTTTGACTAGTCTAGCCCTAATCATACATATAAACTGTAGTTGATAATGAAAATAGACAACTTAACCAAAGTTCAAAATCTGGGAAGTTCAAGATTTTTCATTGTAAAAAGCCATGAAATCATAGAATTTTTCCTGCTTTTTCAATTTTTAAACATTTTTCACCTAAATGTAACTTGATTCAAACAAAGGCCTTAAAAGGTCTCTACCGTTACTAAAATTTTCAAAACTTAGTGGCTAAGTGATTTCATTATGAAGAAATGCTTTAAATCAACGTGAATGACATTCATTCATGCTTTTGTTGAATGAATTACGAAGAAATGTTTGAAAAAATCAGTCACTCTCTGCCTGTTATCTAGAGTTTTAGTAGCTAAAAAAATCAAACATAAAACTTGGACTGAAAAATTAAGTGTATAAGTGTGTGATGATAATCAGTTATGCTAATCAATAAAGAAAAACAGCACTCTTGTAAAAATTTTCATATATCTTGAATATTATGACTTTTTAAAGATAAGTGTGGTCAAGATATAATCACATCTGAGGTTGTTGTACCAGAAAAGTTCAAAGGTATTGTCCTTGATCTTACCTTTTCCTATCCACTGGTAAAGCACTTAAATCTTATAATCATTTAAAATAGTGAATATTAAGGTGAAATCTTGTAAAAAAAATAACGGTGTGCTAGAAATTAAAATTGTACGCTTTCACAAGGTGAATTAGGAATGACGATAAATAGTTTTCGTTACCTATTTAATGAATGTTGACAACTAGAAAATATATCAGGTATTTCCGTGTCACAACCAGTCTCAGTCGTTCTTAATAACTATTACATAGTGCATTTTTACGATGGCTAGCGTAAGAAAGTACAAATAAGAGAAATATTCATTGTATAAAATAAGATTTAGGTGTTATATGTTGAAAAATTATTTTCAACACAAATTCCTATCTTTTAAATTACTTTTAGAAGTCGAGAAGAACTGGACAGTTGTTCTACTGAAAGTTGGGAATAGTAGGCAGTGTAGGTAGACTACTTGCAGAATCGTTAGTTCTCTTGAAGACCATAGTATTAACTAACGATTCGCTAATAATTCAATATTCATGTTCCTCTGTATTCCTCGCGATATACCTTGGTCCTCATTTATGTTGTTTGTAATTTACGCTTCTACTGTTTATACGTTAACCTACAGGTCATCATTCGTTAATCAATACTTAGTTAAACTTGAATAGGTATTTTTCAGTTTAGTTATGGTTTTCATCATAGAGCGTTAACAGTTTAGGAAACTTGTAAAACGGCTAAGCAGTGAATTAATCAAAAATGTAATGAAAACTGTCTTCAATTTGCTTTAATAATTCTCATAAATCGCTGACGTGATGTATTCACTATCATTTTAAGTAAAAATAATTTACTAAAAATATGACGATATAACTAAAACATAGTGAATAATGGAGACAAATCAGTATAATACAGTCACATTGATTTGTAATCCGTCATAATAAATGTGTTAACTGTGAATTTTAATAGTTTCCAGCACAAATTTTAGTTAAGATTAAATCATTTGTATCTTAAGATTATTTTTAAAAGTTCAAAAGACTATAATATAAATGATTTATTAATTTTTTATGATCTCCAATCATGATATCTATAATTTCTTTCAATCTTTCCTCCGGAATAAACTGAATAATCAAAAACAGACTGAACTTTTATCTACTTACATAAACAACAGATCAGATATTAAAGCGTTTTTAATCTGTTTACTCATTTAGGGTACCTAACCAAATAAAAACAATATGAGCATCAAACTAATGAATTTAGCTCTGGTAAACAAAATATCAATAAACTGACAACATCAATTTCGGTCATTGATGAAGTTACTGATTCATTCATGTACTTTGAATATATAGTCTAAACGTATGAGGGGATGATAGTTGCATGACTATGAAATAATCTAATCCTTCTTTTTTTTTTACAAAAGAAGTTGATTAAAATCAAACGTAAAAATTAATGAATATATTACCATATGAATCTGCAGATTTCACGTTAAATATTAGTGAATACTTCATTAATCTTGTTTTTCGTTTAGTTAATGGAATACTTGGACTCCTCTCAGCTATGTGAATAATTTATTTTCTAAACTATGTTTTTAATTACTTGGAATTTTTTCATTTCATAAATTAGCATGTGGATATGAATCAGTTGATAGGCATGATAATGATACTTTTATTGTTAAAAAATGTAATAGTTTAGTGATACAAAAACGCTTTAAATAAATTATTTTGGACCCCAGGTAACTACTTTATAATAATGTACAATGAAAAAAAGCACTTTAAGTGAGATGTTTACCTTAAAAAAATAAAACACGAAAAAGTTTGATTCAAAGGCTAGTACATTAACATATGCTTGATAAATTTCATTGGGATATTATTGTACAATCACGTTGAAGGGGGTTTATAACGACAGTATAAAATACCATGAAACGCTGTTTAACACGATTTGACATAAATAAATGTTGGTTGTTTTGGACTATTGTAAAGCCATATCATCACTACACGAGTATTCATTACATCCGTAAAGCTATTTGATAAATGGATGAAACAGCTTTAATATGTCACCCAGTCTAAACTCGTTTGCCGTTTGCTCATTGTAACAGTTCAAACTAGACTGTTTCAATGAAAAGTCATAAATTATATCACTCCAGCAGTTCCATAAAAAGTTAGTGATAGTGTAAATACTATATGATTTTGTAAATTGAGCTAGGAGAATCATTCTATGTACTTAAGTCTAGAAGACTCAAGGTTTTTCTAGCTTTTGTTGGTATAACACTATTATTATTATTATATTCTTTCTTATGATATTATATGCAGGTAGAATTCATGCGACGGTTCGGGAAACCAGAAACTCTTATACAACAGGCATGTGATATATTAAAACTAATCACTTTGAAAGGTCATCATATATCAGTCGGACTAAAAAATTTCACTGATCTCCAATTTCATTTTATTCTCAAATGGTGGTGAGTTCACAAAACACCTGTTCATCATGTTACATTCTCATTTTATAATTTGTAAGCTACTCTTTCCAGTATTCATAGTTAGTATTCCTGAAAGACTGACACTAGAGAAGAGGCTGCTGATTATCGTGAAGCATTTGACATTTGTTTAGTCTTAGTTTTTGTCTCTTCAACGGCCTTGAATCACAATCTCGCCCAAGGACCGATCCCGATATTTTTGAGCCTCGTCACTTGCGTCTTATCTTCGTATCTCAATGTGAATTGAATAGCCAATACTAGCAAATCTACTTGATACACGAATTAGCGGAAATATCATCTGAAGTTACCGTTAACTAACATGGTTGAAATCCACCAGCTAAGAATTTCTGCCTGAAAAGTCAAAAAATAAATTATCGTAAATGTTATTCCAACAGACGATAACCCAAAGTTACGTATTGGAAGATGTAATTTAAACTTAAACGATGTTTACTACTTGGAATGAGTAATTAATTTTATTTATTTATTTGAACACATGAATATTGGTACAAAGGAGCACCGAATACATATGCGCCACACAACTCACTTGATGTGCATGTGGGCTGTGATACTGTCGGGGTGCCCAGACCGAAGCAGCAGGTTTCCTTAAAAGGCCATTTCCGGAGCCTTCGACCTAAAGGTCTTATCCACAAGACAGTGGAGCAAAGTAAGGAAATGTAGTCCCATGGTAGCGGGTGACCAATAATTGGTTCATACGCCATGCATTTCCGCAGCATCCTGGAGCCCATGTACACCATTGGTTTGGAATCAGGGTTTTCCAACTCCCCTAGATGGATCCTCCATATCGATCAACATGGTTAAACTGCCGAACATTCGCTTTTTTCCTTTCAATCTCGTAAACAGCACCACCTCCACGAGAAGGCAGAAAGTAGGATATAATTTCATTCAAAGTGTATAAAATATTGTGATAAAAAAATAAATTGTACAACATCTCATGTAAACACGTGAATAGTATTTTTAGCGATTTTTGTTTTCTCTAGTTTAAACACGATCAAACATCCCAACTTTGAGAACATAGCAGCATCCATCTGAACAGTGAATCTTCACAATTGATTGGTCACCGGGTTGTGATCAATTTCATGTGTGTTAAGTCCATATTAGTGAAGCTGGGTGACACGGGATCGAATCCGTCAGGAAGCACCAGTTCCCTCAAGATTACAGGTACACATTGCTGACGAGTGCCAAGTAGCACGAACCCGCGTTCAGGGTTTCCTGTTGACTACCTCCAACCAATATCTAATCAGTGAATCTTCAATTTGAAAAATTGTAGATTGTGTGGAGTATTAAAATAAATATTACAACAGAATGTTTAGAGTACAGCATCATCTGAATCCTACTTCCTAAAATATGATGTCAATCCAATCCCTTTATGTTTAGGGCATAAAATAAATTATTTGCACAACTTCATCCTCTCTACATAGTAGTTCGACTATTACTTCAGTTTAGTTGGATATTAGAAGAATGATTTTAGTTTCTATTCAATTATTTATTTCCTGTTTCATCTCACTAACATTCGGTTAAGAGCACGCGATTTAATGAAGCTTTTACAGTAACACTAGTTGATATGGATTTGAGGCCAATTGGCAAATCAATTCAGTAAGGCTGGCAATAGGCCTTAGTGACAAGTTAGAAGTAGCACCAAATCTATGATCATGTTTTCCTGCCGATTAGCTCCAAACACCTGACATCAAAACATGATACATACGATATTGAGTACCTTAATCCAATGGCCGCATTTTATAAAATTCGGTTAGGACTAAACATTAGTTAATCATAAAATTAGTTACCACTCAATAGTCTGTAAGCGTAAATGTAGAATTAGAATTATTATTATTAATGGCTTTATTCAATCAGTTACATAAGAGTAGTGGATAATGAACTTTCGTTTTTCGTTCTCATTGTTTTTACTGACTTGCTGGAAAAAAAATCTATTCATTCATATAAATTGTTACCACAATATTAATAATAATAGTTATAAATCCTTTAAAATATATTAACTCGTAAATTTTCTGGGTATTTGTTTAATGAAACATGTCTTTTGAATTAAATTACATTTTTTAGTAATTTACATATTTGTTTAGCTAAAAATGTCAACTATCACGTGATTTGAACTGTAGGCACCGAATAAAATTTGTCTGTTTGTACTGTTGCGTTACTCTAACAAAAGTACTTTAAAAATTAAAATACATTTTACTGATTAAATATAAACGAGAACTATGAGCTAAAATTTCTGTTTCTTATAAAGGAATGTAATATTCCATTGAAATTACTGATAGATCAACTAAACCCGACCTTTGAAAAATTTAAACCTACAGTTAGCTCATAAAATTAGAAACAAGGTTTGAAATCAGTGATTCGCATTGTATAAAATGGCTGTGTTATAATTCTCTCTTATTACAACCCAGCTATTCCTAATGCTTAGTAGTCTTGGACATTAATTCACTCAACAAGTCCCCAAATCAGAACACAGCTGAACAGGAAAGATATTATATTCCTAATAATAGGGGTAGATGGTAGTAAGAAGCGCAATCAGAAAAACGTTAGTATATTTATAGTTTTTACATGAGACGATTCTAGAGTGTTCTCCAAGTATCGGCTAGCGCTGATTGGATAAGAATTAGCAAATCAGCGTTCACCGACTCAATTGTGCATGGAACATGCTTTAACCCAATCTATTTCTCGCTAACAGGCTGTTACTAAATGCACAGTCATAGAGTTGCTATAATAGTTATAAAAGTATCTGTAGGGAGAATTACGAAGCCGATCTGTTTGGTTCCATAAATCAAAAAAGGAAGTGTCAACTTTATTGAACGAAATTACGCTCTTGTCAGTGTTGCGATAAGAGTAATTCGTGAATACAACTTAAAAATAGTGAAAACATAAGCTTTCGTTTTGAATTCAGTACTACTGAATCTGATCTAAAAAGCATGACAATAATATTGATCTAGAGTAATTGGAAATCTAACATATCTACTTGGCAGGTATCTGACAAAGTATCAGTAATGTTATAGAAACCTGATTTAGTTATCAACAATATAAGTCACCTGTAAATAGATAGTTACATGTTAAAGTACTTCAACAAAGAGTGATATGACACCATTTATTTCACACTTTATATCCCTTAATTTCATTCAATCCTATTATATTCTATGTTCATCATGTTTACTTAATGATATGTGGGGGAGAATGATAATGATTGGTTGTCTGCTTAGTCAGACATGTAGATAGTTTGATAAGTGTCAGATGAGTTATATATTCCCCTATCCTTATTATTGTTTCTCACTTATTATAGTTCATTGCTGTTGGATTGTGTCAGGTTTCGGTGTGCATATACATTACGTTTTGGTCAGGCTAATCATGCGTTCATGAGTTGTGTTAAAGTCCTGTAGAATAGACACTGGGAGGGAACCTAGTGTAGATATTCGTCTAAGGTAAATTAACGTCCCATACGTGTAAACATGGAAACCCAACCGTTATAACATTACACGAAGTAAAACCGAGCGTTATAACAGTTAACTTTTTCTGTCTGTGTATGTTCAATACTATAATATGATTGGAAATTATGTTACTTTTTAATGAATTGTTTTTCTTTCAATCACTTAGCCCATTAGCTGATACTAAAGATGATCGGATGTTGTTTTACAATTTATCAACTATTCAATTAAACAATTCCTAGATGAACAAAGACAAAGAACTTCAAGTGTTAAAATGATATTAAATGAAGGAGAGATAAATGATTATTCATCACCTAAAATGGATTATTCTAATATTAAACGATATCATACAAATTTAATATCATCTGAATTCGATAATAGATATAATGAACCACAACAACTTCGTCATCATTATCATCATCATCATCATCAACAATTAACTAATTTAATAAAAACTGAGACATGTTCCAGTGAGTTTATTATTCCACAAGATAATTCAGATTCTAGTGATTTAGAAAATAAAGGAAGTGTAACAATCCTAACAGTCCGGTCTAATAGAAGGACCCCTAGTCGGTATGGTGAACAGAATAAATGTCACTCAAAACTTCCGAAGTGGATTTCTTTGCCAGTAAGTTGATTGCATATATATGTATATATATAATTTCAGCGAAATTTTAGTCTCAAAAGCTATTTAATGGTGATTTTAACTGGTATAATTTGATAAACTAACTTGATTGCATGAGATGGTAACAGCTTTCACACATAAATATGTTTCAATAAACGTGGTCAGCTTCCAGAAAAATCCAATGAGGATGTGTCATCACATCACGAGGAACCTTTCGAAATTTCGATAAATTATTTCTTATGGTATTGATCACACCTTACGTTCGTGAATATTAACGAGGTTGGAAAAGACTAATGTCGATTTTGATTACCACTAAACTGATTGCCGTTTCTTCCCAATCGGGGTTTGCTCAGAGTGTTCATCCTTGGATCCTCATCCCAGAATCGAACCGGTGACCTTTGGCCTCATTCTTGAACACTAGACCTCTGAGCCGGTATCAAACTATTGAAGTTAAAATGTTGGTTTCCAATTCATTGGTCTGGAGGTAAACCGTTCAAGCGCGAGACTGAAGGTCCCCAATTCGATCCCCAGATGCAGGGTCAAGGATACACACTACATAAAGACCCCTGTTAGGAAGCACTAGTCGTCCAGTTCATCCAAGTTTTTATTCGTAGTCTAATTAAGGTCATTTCGTGATTTAAACGGTGGAAATAACACTATCTTCACAAATCTTCTACAGGTTGTTGAAATCCTGACAACGGTATGTTAAAAAACAAACCATTAGTCCACTGTTCGATGCGATAATTTTTCTAGACAAATCATTTATCATGGGATCTATGTGAAACAGAATAGTTTGAATCGTTTCATAGATATGCATTACTTTACGCTGTCACATTTTATGACATTATTGAAGAAAAGAATTGACAAGGAAAATAGATCTAAAAGAAGAAAATGAACAACGCAATCTTCAATAAGCAATGTTGTTTAGAGCATCTGAACACAGACCAATGATAACCATATCCGTTCTATTGCAATTGGTATTTGATAATGTTAACCACGTTTTTTCAACTCATATGGTACATTTCAAGAACTGCAGCTGGAATATACTTTTAGACATGAATAACACCAGCTTCCTGAACAGATTGGTTTTAACGCTAACTACTCTTAATTTTTGTGAATATAATTACAGACTACTCATTATCACTTGTTACAGTGGATCATATAATCCAGAAAGCTCACTGACAATCAGGTTAAGACGTAACTGACGTATTTCTACATGGAAAGCCACATCCTCCTCCTCCTCCAATAGACGGCTTCATTACTCAAATACAGATGCTCAATACACAGCCACTGTCTTTGCAGACAGTTATTTGTCTAAGTGGGCTGATAAGCTACGTTATTTCTAACTGATTAACAGTAATTTTTGTGCCTATCCTATAATAAACACATTGGATGATTAATTAACTTCAATTAACTAACAAGCGAAGCTACTAAAGGCTTCGATTAGAAAAAAAGTAACATTATTGTTTAGACTAAATCAACTTCCATGATATACAAAATTAACATATGGTTGATCAGTTTCGTCTCATCTTTATTATTATTATTATTATCATCAGCTTTATTCAATATTACATTTTTGGTACAATATAGAATTCTCAGCGTAAAGTATTTCAACAAGTTTCCGTTTCTTTCTTCTTGGTTAGTCCTGGCGATAAATATTGAGTGATCGCCAGTTAGATGTTAGCAGTTCAGTAAATGAACATCTGAATAATGTGTATTCCTTTCGCTGTATATTGCCAGCAACCACATTGGTTCTTATTGACTTTTTTGTAACTTGACAACGAAAGGTTGTACACTTTTCAGAAACTCAGCAGAGTAGGTCATGCCATTAATAAACATAGTGATATATTAAAACAAACAAAAATAGATAACTTGTTGAAATATCTAGATGGCAGGAACAGGTAGCCCAGATGCCGCCGTTGTTGTTTGATATGAGTCTACAAATGCGAACGTACAGCTTAAGTAAATGATTTAGTCAAAAGAATTTCCTCTCTGAATTATTTGTATTTAGATTCACTGACACAATGGGTTACTTTAGTTATCTGTAACATCATGACTTCATAGATTTTAATTTACTTATTCATGTATTATTCACATAACCAATTATGATATTTAAAATAACTGTAAAATATGTGTTATTATAATTGCTACTTTATTGTTCAAAATCTCTATTTTCCAAATTTATATTAATAGGATCTTGAAACCCATGAGCTGAGTGAACCAGAATTGATGTCACCAGAAATCAGAATAATTACTGTACGTACTCACCAGAATCACGAAAACAGAGGTCATCAAAATAACTATGTTGATATTGCAGACACCAACATTAATAATACTACAAATAGTCATAATAATTATTATGATAACGTAAGTGAACAGAGGACGTTGTATGACCTTATTCATATTTTTTCGAAGTTAAATTACATAACAAACTGAGAACCATTGAAAAATAGATAACATACGGCAGTTTTATTTTCTTAGTTTGCATCCCCAAAGTACTTTGCACACGTGTCCCTCCAAACAGGTGATTGCTCTCACAATTTTCTATTAGCAATGTTTCATTTTTGTCAAAGGTTAGCCAGCTGATATAGGTTGATGATGACGACCACTTTTTCTAAGTAAACCTTCATGATCCATACTTATTTAAATGGTTGAAACAGTCATTGTTCTCTTTTCGCTTTTCAAAACTTAGATGGACAATCATACCTATATTTCCGAATCAAGTACACAAGAAATAGAACTAGCGCAAGAAAGACAAACAGAACAACCAGTACCTATCAACGATAGAACATCAAAACTTACAAATAACCAATTATTTGAACATTTAAGTAAATTAAAAGACAAAGTTGATATTAAAATAAGAATACATGATGATCCTACAGGATTACTCAAAGTAAGATAGATTAATTTTTTCATCATTTACTTTTAACACACTGATAATTATATTGAAGTAAAGTTACTTTTTAGACGGCATCGCCCTTTAGTTACTAACTATTCTATTGATAACACTTAATGTCCAATTACAATATCAATTGTTGTCTATTATTATTATTATTATTATAATGGCTTTATTCAGAATTATATTTTGGTACAATATAGAATGGATAAATCACTTGCTTCGACAAAAATCTACTCGCTGAATGATAAATATTTCAATTCATTTTTTAACATTGTTATTAATAACAAAGCCTTTAGACGTGAATTTACCCATGTATCGTATTCACTAGAATAATGACGAGGAGGGAGGTTAGATTATGGGAACTGTTTTGCATTAACCCAGTTTATAGTCATAAACTGGTGAAGTTAGGCGTGAATTTATTACTACACAGGCATGTACCCTGAAACATTGCTGGTATTTTATTATTATTATTATAGATTTATAAGTTCTTAGATAAATAGAGCCCTGTCTACATATTATTTGTTGTTATACACCATTATACGTTTCCAAACAAATAAGATTGCGAAGATATCTGTGTTTAGTGATAGTGACTGAGGTCAGTGGTTGAAAACTCCAGGCTGCAAGTCTCAGATATATCCACAATGGCTCAGGTGAACTCTTTAACGCCTTTCGAGCTTGGACTCCAGTATACCTTCACACATACCGTTCCATTTTGTCGTTTTGAACCATATTCTCTATGTCCAGTATTTCTTATTATCATTGCTACTACATCATACTTATCTCTTTTGTAACTCATCTAATTGTGTTTATGTAAAATAGGTAACTTAGGCCAAGGCATAACAGTGCCAGGTTTTACCTTGATGATTATTAATTAACTAGGTGACGGTAGATGATTGCCTAGCTGTACAGGGAATTAGTTAAAACAGGCTAATACTCACTGCAAACTTATGACATTTTACTGTAATACTATCAAACCGTTGTTTTATAAGCACACATTCTTGAAAGTGAGGGAAAAATGAATTATATTACATCGGTACGATAATTAACAAAACATATAGTTGCATTTTTACAACTGTATATATATATATATATATATATATATATATATATATATATATATATATATATATATATATATATATATATATATATATATATATAGCAATTGTACATATAATTAACAGTTATCACAAATAATAGCCGCCTATTTGTTCAATGCTTATTTCAAATAAATATGTGCTTTTACTTTTTTCTAAATATAAGACATCAAAGAAACAATTTGCCTAAAATCACAACAATATAAAACAAGCGACAAAAATAACAAAATGTTTCAATATGAAATTTTCGATTTTTTTTTCATTCCTTTACGTATTTTTGAAGATTTTTCTTTGAAACTGTATTTATAGAAATTACCAATTTTAACAATGAAATAAAAACTCATAATTATTTGAGCTTAATTTATAAAATACAGTTTTTATTCTGTTTAAATTTAGTTGTTTTGTTGTTGTTGTTGAAATAAATCTAAAATCTGAACACACAACTATAAATCATTCTAAGGACAATGATCGTAAACCATACATTATGAAGTATTTCATAATGTTTACCAAAAATCATTATATGTTTACTATCAATAATTGATTGTACATTAAAATGGATACTGATCATGTTAGTCAAAACAGTAATGAAACTTTAAGGATCAAAGTATTCAGCTAAAGAACTTAACATCATTAAACATTTATCTAAGCTACATATATTCAATATTTCAATAACTCTTTCATTGATGACTATGTGTATTTAAAATTTCTCCTAAACCAAAAAAAAAAATGCTTGAATACACAACCAAATATTCCTTTATAATTATACGATATTTTTTTTACTGACTGTTTTAGGAAATGTATTACTGTCTTTTAAGAATTTTAGAGTTTACATTGATTAGATTATGGAATTTGTATATATTGTTATATCAGACGAGAAATATGAATGGTAACTTTTGAAAACTATTTATGGACTAATACGATATATATATATTTTTACTGTATAATTGTTAAGTAGATAAACAATGCATAATCATGTTCCTCTTATTATAAGCTTTATTTTGACCCATAAACTATTATTATACGATTTACCGTTTTTGAGTTCTGCTCAGTCTATTAATTAGTCTTCAACATTCACAGCCACCTTTGACTAGAACTTATACAAATGTTATTTTCTATTTTATGGTATGATTTGGTCTGTTTGGTTTCTGTATAAACCCAGTATGCTTGAAATACAGGATTCATATCACGGAGACTGAGATTGGTGTTCTGGACTTAAGAGGCATGGCTAGACAGGAAACAGGACCGATAAGGACTGTATACTGCTCGTACGGGTTTTATGGGTCATTGATCTGGTCGATAAGTCACTGTTCTCTAATTGGCGGTGTCATTACGTTACATGTTAATAGGGCAAAGGGCCACATGTTATAACATGCGTATATATATATATATATATATATATATATATATATATATATATATGCTTTTTTGAATGAACAGACTGATATATTTTAACCAGATCTACAAGGTAATAAATAGCTTAGTAGTTAAAATGGTTTGATATACATTGATTAAAACTACTTCACCAAAAATCAGTTTTAGTAGACAAATAGTACTTATCAATAAACCTTAGAAAATGTGGTTCAAAGCAGATTACGTCAGTCTAGTAAATGAATTAAAATGGAATGTATTGTACTTAATATTCATCAAGAATTGCAATAAATTTACAATAATATGGAACATTTTTAAGCCAATAAAGTACTTATCTTGTCATTCAGATGGTCAATTATAAATAAATTATTTAAATCTACTGAAATTATATTAATAATAAATTGTTCTTGTCTTTCTAAAATACAAAGTCACATTATTGATGGAAGATGAAAATGACTTAAAATTTTATTATATTTTGATTATAATTGTTATTTCTTGCCGGTATTATTCAATTAAAATTAATGAATATTTGTTACATCAATTAAATTTTAGGATTTAGATAAGGCTATTACAAACCTTGTTACACAATTAGAGAACAATTCATGTTGGTTTAATGAACTTTACGTTTCAAATAAAGCTCAGAATCCGAAGTCTATTATTTCTTCACCAGTAAAACAAATGGAGAAAAATATTGACGAAAAAAACACTCTAAAATCCTTATGGGAATCATTGGCGTTTTTAGATGAACCAGAAAAATCGTTTGATGGTTATATTGAAGACGGATCAACATCATCTATATCAGGTTCTTCCCATTCAGTTAGAGTTTTTGAAAAGACAGATGTTTTACATGTGATAGTGATCAGATTATCAAAACTACGGGTTGGATGCAATTAGATTTAGCATTGATATGGCATTTAAACTATACCATACGTTTACTTGACAAAGTGTATCCTGATCACTTGTATGTAAGCAGCTCACAAACATTATTATCAGCTCAGTCGTCTGTTTCTGATGTTTCTGACAAAACAATAAACAACTATACACACAATGGATCATTGAGTTCAGTGAGTAACTCAGTTCATTCAGCTTGGTCTACCTTGCCTTTATTAGAGCAGGTCAGTAATATTTTTAAACTATGATGACCATCTATATTTAATTTTTAGGTATATTACTACTTTCAATATTAGGTCCTTGTCTTCGTGGCTCTATCGTACATCCAAGAAAACAATATTATACACTAAGTAATTAACAGTTGTCAAATTGGTCACGTAGGTCAACTAATTTGTTTGATGCGCTGTCCATTTGACAGAAATGAAAACATCGCCTTAAATTGTGACCAATCTTTATCTAGAAACCTTCAATTTGGACTTTTCAAACTGTATTGATGCTAATATGATGGTCCTAACTAAAAAATGTGCCAGAAATGTTCGAAACAAATATAAATTTACACCTAAAACGTATCTATCATAAGAAAGTAAAATGCTGATCACAATTTTTCAAAACCTAATATACATGATAAAAAAACTGATTTATGTATCGGGCCGACTGTCAATTATTTCATGTATCATTGTTCTATCGGTTACGTTTGATGCTCCTTCCAACTCACCGGTCCACAACTTAGCGTGAAGCGTTCCATATTTTCTCAAGATTAGACTTTCCATCTCAGAGAGCAATACACCAACGAAAATATTCAGGTTAACTGCAAATCTCCATTATTTCGTATTGATATATATATATATGAAATTACTTTTTTTTAATTACAATGATTTTTACGTGTGATTTAGATTTTTGTTTATCTCTTTACCTAAATTATTGCTCTCTCATATTGAGTAACAAAAATACACAAACATGCATACAAATACACTAGGCAAACATATACGTGAAAACAGTGCACCATCTGTTACGCATTCTCTATGGTCAAAATCAATAATTCCATGTAATCCAACTAATTTGTTGTTGTTTGTCTTTACAAAGACAAATGTAAACAATGAGAGATTAAAATTGACAGTGAGAAATATATATATATATATATATATATATTACTACATTTGATTTAAGTATAAATAATCAATAGGTGATTACTAAAAAAGGATCATATTTCATACTGGACTGAATTTATTTATAAGAATCTAAAAAAACATAATATACTTAGAAAGTTTACTGACGAACATTAGTTGAACTCGTTTTTAGAGCAAATAAATGGCTTCAATATTTTTATATTCTTTACGGTATACAGTTTAAGTAACCCATTAATATATGGGATGAAAAATGATCAAAAAAGGCTTTTATCGTTTCTTGATTTGAAAATTGCGAAACTTCAACTTCAAAGGTTAACTATATACATAGATTGCTTGTATTTCATCATAGATAATTGAACTTATTGCTTGTGTACTCTGAGACTGACGATTGAGGATCTTTGAGATTAAGCTTAACGTAATGATAAAAGGAGTAAATTACTGATAAAGGCCTGAAGCACAAGTAGTTTAGGTGCTTGGGATATTCGTTAGGTAGCAAAAGCTATGTCTTCCTCGTGGGTGTTACACCAACTAACATTAAAGTAGATTTGAGAAAGGACATATTCTCTCCGATTACGGCATAGGCATCAATCTATGAAGTAGTCTGTTATTATTATACGCTTTTGAAAAGTAACTGATTGTTGGAAAACGTAGCCCTCATTGTTTACAATGTCACAGAAACATTCACATATTTATCTTTCTCCAAATCTTGAGTACAATACTATTTCATACATGGCATTATTCGATTTCATTCTCTTTTGTGCATGACATTATGTTTAGTTTATCACAACGATTTATATTATGATTACGGCGTGAACAATCTTTATGTAGGTATAGTGGTCTAAGAAACTCTGCCTGGGGCCCTTCCGGAGGATACTGCCGGTCCCAAGCCCGGATAAAAGAGGAGGGTTGGGCATAGTGTTAGCTGCCCGATCCCGTGGAAAACTAACTCGCTAAAAAACGCTAACCAGAAAAAATTATTCATACCATTTAAACTCTGTCCTGGGAATTAGGTCTTTATTTAGAAGAGTAATGATGCCTCATAGTGAAAGCCGAGTTCCTTCAGAAGTCACGAGGCCGGTGCCCCTTCTGACAACTAGAGCAACCATTTATTTAAGTGCATGGAATGCTCGTACAATGTGGGAGATCATGAGAGTCTTCCGAATTGCTGCTGGACAACAACGACTAGATTCAGGGGAGCTTCTGTTATACTCCGGCCATGAAGAAGAAAATGCCCCACATACAAACGAGTTGCATTGGTGCTGTCCAAACAAGCACAAAAGGCACTTATAGGATGGGAATCTCATGGACCAAGGATCATCAAAGCCTCCTTCAAAACAAAGAAAGAGGGCATTTCAATGAACATCATCCAATGCTATGCGCCTACCAACGACTACAATGAAGACGCTAAAGATCAATTCTACAATAGGCTGCAGTCAATCGTCGAGAAGTGCCCAACAAAGGACCTGACCATTCTGATGGGAGATTTCAACGCCAAGGTTGGAACGGACAACACTGGATATGAAGACATCATGGGACGACACGGACTGGGAGAAAGAAACGAAAATGGTGAGAGATTTGCAAACCTATGTGCCTTCAATAAACTGGTCATAGGCGGCACCATATTCCCACATAAACGCATACACAAAACCACATGGACTTCACCGGATCACACCACGCAAAACCAAATCGACCATATTTGCATCAACAAAACGTTCAGGAGGACTATAGAGGACGTGAGAACCAAGAGAGGAGCTGATATAGCATCAGATCATCACTTGCTGGTCGCCAAGATGAAATTGAAACTCAAGAAGCACTGGACAATGGGGCGGACAATATCACAAAAGTTCAATACGGCCTTTTTCAGGATACTAACAAACTCAACAAATTCAAGATAGTCCTCAGCAACAAGTTCCAGGCCTTTCATGATCTACTCAATGGAGAAGGAACTACTATGGAGAGCAACTGGAAGGGGATCAAAGAGGCAATCACTTCAACATGTCATGAGGTCCTGGGTCACAAGAAGCACCATCACAAGGAATGGATCACTGTTGATACACTGGATAAGATTCAAGAAAGGAGGAACAAGAAGGCAGCAATCAATACCAGTCGAACAAGAGCAGAAAAAGCCAAGGCACAAGCTGAATACACAGAAGTAAACAAACAAGTGAAGAGGAGCATCAGAACCGACAAACGTAAATATGTGGAAGATTTAGCAACGACGGCGGAAAAGGCTGCAAGAGAAGGAAACATGAGACAACTGTATGACACGACAAAGAAACTCTCTGGAAATCGCCGCAAACCAGAACGACCAGTGAAAAGCAAGGAAGGCGAGGTAATCACCAACATTGAAGAGCAACAAAACAGGTGGGTAGAACACTTCAAAGAACTCTTGAATCGACCAGCTCCACTGAACCCACCCAACATCGAAGCAGCACCCACGGACCTCCCAATCAATGTTGGCCACCAACAATTGAAGAAATCAGCATGGCCATCAGACAAATCAAGAGTGGCAAAGCAGCAGGACCGGACAACATTCCAGCAGAGGCACTAAAAGCAGACGTAGCGGCAACTGCAAGGATACTCCACATTCTCTTCAATAAGATTTGGGATGAGGAACAAGTACCAAAAGACTGGAAAGGGGAACTTCTGATCAAAATACCGAAGAAAGGCGATCTCAGCAAGTGTGATAACTACAGGGGCATCACTCTTCTCTCAATACCGGGAAAAGTCTTCAACAGGGTATTGTTAAACAGGATGAAGGACTGCGTAGACGCCCAACTTCGTGACCAACAGGCAGGATTCCGTAAGGATAGATCGTGTACAGACCAAATCGCAACTCTACGGATCATTGTGGAACAATCAATTGAATGGAATTCATCACTCTACATCAACTTCATTGACTACGAAAAGGCATTTGATAGCGTGGACAGAACAACACTATGGAAACTTCTTCGACACTACGGCGTGCCTCAGAAGATAGTCAATATCATACAGAGTTCATATGATGGATTACACTGCAAAATCGTGCATGGAGGACAGTTGACAAAGTCGTTCGAAGTGAAGACCGGTGTTAGGCAAGGTTGCTTACTCTCACCTCTTTCTCTTTCTCCTGGTGATCGACTGGATCATGAAGACGTCAATATCTGAAGGGAAGCACGGGATACAATGGACATCTAGGATGCAGTTGGACGATCTAGACTTCGCAGATGATCTGGCCCTTCTATCCCAAACGCAACAACAAATGCAGGAGAAGACGAACAGTGTGGCAGCAGCCTCAGCAGCAGTAGGTCTCAATATACACAAAGGGAAAAGCAGGATTCTCCGATACAACACAGCATGCACCAATCCAATCACAATTGACGGAGAAGATTTGGAAGATGTAAAAACCTTTACATATTTGGGCAGCATCATTGATGAACAGGGTGGATCTGATGCAGATGTGAAGGCGCGGATCGGCAAAGCAAGAGCAGCATATTTACAACTGAGGAACATCTGGAACTCAAAGCAACTGTCAACCAACACCAAGGTCAGGATTTTCAATACAAATGTCAAGACAGTTCTACTGTATGGGGCGGAAACCTGGAGAACTACGAAAGCCATCATCCAAAAGATACAGGTGTTTATTAACAGTTGTCTACGCAAAAAAAACATCTGTGTTACAAGGCAAGCTCTCACATGGAATCCTCAAGGCCAAAGGAGACGAGGGTGACCAAGGAACACATCACACAGAGAAATCGAGACAGACATGACAGAAATGAACAATAATTAGATAAAAGTAGAAAGGAAGCCCTAGGATAGAGTGGGATGGAGAATGCTGGTCGGCAGCCTGTGCTCCATTGTGAGTAACAGGCGTAAGTTAGTGGTCTAAGACGATACACATTTGTTTAAGTTGTATCAGTGATCAAATTACGGTAGTGATTATTAAGTAATACAAATAAGATCAATCAACTACGACAACCGTTACAATATGTACCACAATTAATACTATTCAAATGCGTAGATATACTACTTATACGGATACGTAGCTCAATTGTCTAAGTAATGTAAACGTCGAAAACGATATCACTCCTGAAAAAAGTAGTGAGAACTATTGCAAACAAATATTTATTTCCGATGCAGCCATTTGGAAATTCGTGCAATTAATAAATATATAACACAAAGAATTAAATTTTTCAGCATAACTTATTTGTTAGTTGGCATTCACCAAAAGATGTTTTCCCAATCTTATATTTGAATTTGAATTAAGATTAGTAATATTAATAACATATTAATAGATCAATTTTTGTATGTAATGTTCCGTATGAGTTCTTTACCATGAGACTAAACAATCCTGAAGCAACAACTGAAATTCTCTGAACTTTGAAATTATTTTGTAAAAGAACTTAAAGAAATATAATTTATGATGCGGAAATAATGGCAAATAGGAAACATCTTTCTAAATATCAAAATGGACATAAACATTTTTTGATATATATTCAATAAGTTAAAAACTCTATTTTCATTGTGAAGTGACTTCATTTTGTAACAAACAAATATGCATCTAAACTTTTGATAAAGAAAGATATTATCCCACATTAATGAAAAATTAAAGTGAAAATAAGTGAAAAAATCCTTATTACTTTTTTAGGTAGAATTCTTTAATGAAGTTGAGAGCCTCTGTCAGGGAATTGTTGATGATCTACAAACAGTTGAATCTAACTATTTATTGAAAGTTTGTGGGGATGGAAAACCATACTCTACTTTAAGGTTTACATGTTTTCTTTCGAAGTTAATTTGGCCTGTAGAAAATAATAACACTGTAACTTTGTCAGATGATTTATCTTCACCACAAATCATTTTTGATCGTGATACATTTCGTGAAACTTTACTAAGATTTTATGAAAAGGATGTGGTTCCTAGATGGTCAAAAGATATGGCTAACGGAGGTAAGAAATATTCAGATTTATGTTAACAAATTTGAAAATAGTTTTTTTGCATTGTTAAAAACATCTAAAGAATTTTTACTATATAAGCCTCTAATTAAAAAACTTTATTCCTCAACGTATACACAAATTTTAAGTATTCATTTATAGGAAAGAGCGTCTAGCTCCTTAACAGTAACTTGTATTTTATTAGACAATTTCTATTTTATTCAGAATGAGCATGTATTTTGTTTGTGACTAATCAACTAAACGTATATTCATTAGTCTATTAACACTAATGCATCGAATTATTATTATTGATATTTGAGGTAGCAATGCTAAATTAACACCTTACGCACGTCAAGTTTTATGTATATAATCTACAGTTAATGGAACTTGGAACCCAGTTAACTGAAATTCCTAAAAGTGCCAAAAATCTTTAAGTCTTTCGTCTACCAGTTTGTAGTTACTACATCATACATAATGTTATTTTTAATTTTCTATGCTTGAATATGTGAAAAGGAATGTCACCTCAAATGGTTTGTATGGTAATTAATAATAATAGTAGTGATAACCTCCCTCATACCGCAAACAGCTACAGGAGACCTATTACAAAATGTAGATTGTGGACGAAATATCTATCCATATGAGCGTCAAGCTTTATAAATCTGAATTAATTTTTTAATGTTAATAGTTACAATATGTGGGAAGTTTTAAAACAAAAAATGATATTTTTGGAAGCATTCAATTTGATTATACTTTCTTTTCTTTTGTTTAATCCGCAGTAATCGACCATTTTATAGAAGATGTGTTGGACCTTCAAGTGAATGGTTCTGAATTATCTACTATTCCCCTGACCCATTTAAATTTACGTCTAAAACTTTCTGAAAGAATGGAATCCACTGTTTTATCAAATCGTTTATCAGATCAGCATAATCGAGATCAATTAAAACAGTTTAATGTTTATTTTATACAACTACTTTCTTATTTAGCTGGACAATGTTAGTGAAACCTTACTCTACCTATTAATTTTATCTGTACATATATAATTCGCTGGTAATCATAATTACTATTGGTTTTAGAAAAAAGTTTTCATATAGCTTAGAATAAAACTGACGTAAGCATAAAGTATTTACAAGAATTTAACTTCACAAAACAGACATAATGTAGATTACTTATTTATTGCTGAGGCCATTCTATAGAAATATCAGATCGACCTAAGGGTACTATCAGTCTAAAATGATTAGTAGGATGTACGTAAGATTTTGATAAAACTTATAATTACAGTAGGATTCAAATTCATGTCATGCAGCACCACATGCAGAGATAATACCATCGTAGTATTTTGTTCTTGACTTAGCTCACATATTACTGAAAGTTACACTGATTGATCACTGAGTAATAACCACTGTCTAATGATATGTTGTATAAATTTTTGGGATAATTGTATTGAATGATGAACATTTTAAATATTTATTCATGTGTTCTGAGCTGGTGAAATTTTCGCCTACTGTTTGTCTACTTTATTTGAATTAGGCTACTACTACACGGTTGAAAAAAGCTAACGTTGGTGGAAAAAGTCATCTTATTCATCATATATTTAGTACTATTTTTGTATCCTGATAACTAAATTTTTAGGAATCTACTACACAAAGCTAATTGGTTGTAATTTAGAGATTGTTTAATGACGTTTTAAAATTACATACTTGTTTTTTTATTTCTAAATAAAGTTATATATAGGTTTATAAAAGATGAAGGATCACTTTCGGCTACTTGAACAAGATTGAATCTTCTGTCTTCGTAGTTCCGAACAAAACAAACACTGTGGTGTACAAAATTGTACCAAAATAATACATTTTCTTTTAGAATACTGACTGAATCTATGTATTTAATATTCTACAAAGTCAGTAATGATTAAATCTCTCAATGACTTTTTATGCTAGTAAAGAGTCAGAGATTAATTACACAAGACAGTTAGTATATCAGTATTTCCAGAATAATTTCTTTCAAAAATATTCTCTATCACCAATAAAATAGTTCAAATAGCTTTTTAAAATATGCGTAGGACATTCTAAAATCCTACAGTGCATCTCAAATTAAAACCAATATGAAAATATGCATAACATGCATTTTAACGGTAACATTATAGTGTAACATTTATTGTAGAATAGATTCATCTAAACAGAGCATTATCGTGCATGAAAGTGTTTATGAAACATCTAATCATTATTAAATATTTCATTTTTATCAATGTAAAAACCTCAAGATAGACCTTAGCATAACAAGTAACAAATGTCTTATTAAAACCTTGTCAATTTCGTGATAACCTTAAACCATACAACCCAGCTACTTATGAGTAGTATAACACAAAAAGTAAACTTAGGATAGATACCTACCTATTTCTTATGCTGATATTATTTGTTATTGTTACCTTTTAGTATATATTCAGTGGAATCTAGAAAATGCTTATTCCTCCCGTACCTTGTCTACCCTACCTTATTTCACGAGAGCATTACAACCAATATTTGGATTAAATGTTCTATTAAGTGATGTAGGAGTAGATCCAAGTTATCTAGAACAAATAGAATATGGTTTAGATATGAGAAGTACAGAATTAGCTGCTTGTCATTCCACTCAGACGTGGTTACGAGTTGCTGAACTAGTAGGAAATCATGATGAAGAGATTAATAAGAAAGCAATTATGTTGTTAAAATCAATGAATGAAAAGGTAAGTAGTTAATACGAGTTTCATATTACTTTTAAATGCACTACATTCTAAGCAATTATTTTAGTAACAAATAATGAGTTTATTGTGTCAAAAAGGTAGTTCTTTTTATTTCATCCAATAAAGAGGGCAAAATTATAAATTCAAATTCGAAATAACAAATAACTTAAAATGAATATAAACTGTAGTGTATAAAATGTTCCGAGCACCGAAAATTAAGGTATACCGACAGTCATAGAGAATTTTTTCATCAAACTTATACTACTACGCACAAAACGACAACAGAAATAAATCAGACTGAAAATGTTTAATATACATCTAGCAAATCGTTTACGACTAACAGTGAGTTACTATTAGAACCCGTATTTCTTTGGTTCCACAGATTCCAGCTTCACATTCTTACTATTTATGCCGAAAGATGTGAAAGTTTTTAATTGTGAGTATACACTGTCAAAGAGTCCCAAATTCCAGTGAAATAGTTGTCCAATGTTGCATAGTTTTTAGTAATGCTCTAGCTTATGTTAGTTTATGGTAGTGATCATTCTAAGGAAGACAGACAGTTGGTTAAAATCGCAGACAACTATATGTAACGATCAGCACTAACAATGAGGCTGACTAAAATTATCTTTATAAACCGCTTGTTTATACATTTACAGAATTCTACACGTTTTCTCAACCCATTCCGTTTTCTTTGTAATATAATTTTACAGATATATAAAGTTTTTCAACACATAACAAATTTAAAACAAAAGTTACACTTATCAAATGATGTACAAATGCTTCAGGGAACAAATAATCATATTAATGATTGTCATCAATTAATCCAAAAGAATAGTAGAAATACAGTTCGACGCCCTATTTTTTATTTAATGGGACCACCTATTCATATTCAATATTGTCTGAATAAAAATTGCATTAAACAAAATTTAAATTCATTATCACCAATATGGATTAGTATGATATGGGGTTTAGAACAAAAATCTAATATTAAAAGAATAGCTGCATTAAAAGCGTTAACTGTACTCATAGAATCACAGATAAACGAAACAATAAAAACAACACAAAATAATAATGCAAATAATAAAAATTGTAAACTATGTGGAAATACAAATGATTCAATTACAAATTCAACATTATTACAACTTTTAAATAATATGCATTCAAACGATTCGGATCCATTGGTGAAGAATCTAGCTGGACAAATTATTGACAGAATTACTACAAGATCTAATACTGAATCACACAATGAACAAGTAAGTTACAGTTAAATTATATTTTTCTTCTTCCTTTATCATATCCAGTTGCCAGTGAAAACTTTAAAAAATAAACAAATAGCTACAAGTAATAAAATGAAATTATTTTGAACTTCTACAGGTTGTGATTTAGAAATATACCTCCATGACAATTATATCAGAGTTTACTTTTGATTTGGTGGATAAAACAGGCAGAGATTGTGGAAAAAACATGCATTATCAACGAACGAAGGAAAATATAATATAAGTAGTGAACAGATATAAAAATAAAAACAGAGAATATCAATTGATCATTGGAAAGTAAATTTGGAGTAATAATTAAATGTTGAAGATATAAAGTTGACGAAAATAAAACTAAGGGGAAACTTATAGTCACGGATTTCAAGTCATCTTGTTTTGATCTCTAAATATTTGCTAGTTTATCTCGAAGCCAAGTTCCCATTTACAATTTTTTCTACTCGTGTAATCAATGAAAAGATAAATAATAAAGGTGGTTGCTAACATTTGCATTGTCGTTTAAACTAAACAAATACAATATGATTTTCATAAGGTATTGCCAAGCTGTCACATCTTGAGTCCCCCACTTAGCTTTCAAACGAACATCTTAACTAGAATATGAACGACACTATATATGTGACATAACAGTGCATGTAGATATCGTAGCCCATGTTCGACTCGATAATTTCAAATAAATTGAGCACAAAATATTGAGATATTTAATAAATCATAATGAGTAGAAATTTAAAATTCTGACGTTTCACGACTTAGCTTAAGTCAATTTTTCTGAGAATGAATAAATAACCGAATTCGACTTGTATTAAATATCATCTAGTTATAAATACCATGAGTAGTATTTAAGTCATTAATCTAACTTTTATTATCGATGAAAAGTAAGTGACCATTTTTTTCGTATTTCATTAATTTCAGATAACTAAACCTACTCGTCTCCTGAAAACAATATGGACTAAATTCAGTACTGCAGAAAATTTACCCTCCAAACCGTCATATATCTTTCAACGATAATAACTGAGATTCACATTAATCTACAACCATTTTACAGTCACTGTATTTTCATACATAGTTTGTACAGCTATTTGTTTTAGTGCTGTATGATAACGAAAATTTCGACTAGGAAATATTTACGCCTTTAAAATTAAGAACAAGAACTAAGATAGTTAAAGGCAATGAAAGGAGTTAAACCACGTTTTCGAATATTTGGTATTAAATTATTTAAAATTCTCTCAACATAATTCTGAAAATGTAGGAAGAAGGTCTCTTATACGACTAAGTATTCTAAGTCTAATTGTGAAACGGAATATTAAGGTGTACTTTGTAAATATTACATGATAATAATGAACAAATACTTTATCTAAACAAAGCGAGAATAATAAGATTTTAAGAAAAAGTGGATTCATCCTATTTCAGATTCTTTTTATCAACTGTGAATGTTGTAACGTGTGTGACTGCAGGTTTTGATAAGCAGCGTTTTATTGGTCGATCGCAATACAGTGACACGGAAAACACGTATGAACGACCTAGTGCCCTGATTGGCCCCGCTTCGCAGTCTGTCCCAGCCAGTTGAGTCAAGAACGCAAGTCACAGCCTCTGAGTTATGAATCGTTGTATTTCAGACATACTTTGTTTATATACCAATCAAGCACACCACATCGTACCATAAAATAGGAAACAACATTTACAAAATATTTAACAAGTGAAATAAACATCGACCAATAAGAAATGTACATTTAAGGTCCAAGGACACCATAGACTTAACACGATAATTATTGGTATATTTTTCCGACTATCCTAACAGTGAACAGCTTAAAGTTACAATAAGTACTTTAGTTAATAAAGTTGAAATGTATGTTCGAAAGTAGTGTTAACATCGTAATAGCAGGAAGAAGACAAAAGTTTTAACACTAAGGATAGTAAACGTTGATATGCAAAAATAAAAACTAGTTTTATTTCTAAATCTATTAAAGGCACTAAATATATGGAACAACTTGGTCATTTTGAGAATTCAATCAGGTATTTATGTTATCGGGAAACGATATCACCTAACATTACTGATGATCATTATTTACGTACTGACATATCATCATCGAAATATTACAAGAGTGATATAACAACTAATTACTAAAACGTAAAAATTTTCACACAACTAGCGGATTTCCCGATTCTCCTGTATTTATGTATTGAAAACTTGAGATAGGATTACTTAGAACTGTTTGCAGTATCGTATTCGTATTCCTCATTCTTCTACACCTTCAAAGACTAAGGATTTGAACCTATGGTTGTGATACAATCAATAATAGAAATAATTGTTAGCGTTGAGCTTGCAATTACTTCATTATCACATAATCAAAAATACAGTCTGATAAAACTTCAAAAGAAAAACGAGATGTCTAATAAAAATAAGCAACTAGATGTGAAGTACACAGATGTAGTATGAACGTTATTTATTGGCATTAAAAGTAATTGGAAAATAATGTGGACTTTCAATAATTTCGGTAGGATAACACCAAAAACAGGTTAGGCAGTAATTCAAATGTATCTAATGTGCTTTGCCTCTGTGTATTACAAATAACTAGTGAATAAGAATACAGTAGAATACTTATTTTTATGTTCAACATAATAGGAATAAAACTTGGTTTAAGAATCAGTCTATTCAATACAAAAAGTCTGCTAAGTCCGCACCTTCGACAAACTGGTCAAGAAAGGTGGTCCAAATTTTAATGCTGCCACTTTACATTTATTCGTAGAAAGAGTAGCATCATTGCACCTCAAACCCAGACTCAGATTGATCACATCGCGATCAGCTACCGCTGTCGTGGTTGTGTGCAAGACAGTCTCTCCTTCTGGAGTACCTATCTGGACTCTGATCATGCCCTTGTCTGAGCCAATCTTATCTTACGTTTCAGTCGCCAACAAATTCATCCACCTAAACGGATCGATGGCAGCAAGTTGGTTACAGCTTCTTTTGCAACTAAGCACCAAACCGGCTAGGTTCAAGGTTAGCTATCAGCCCACCGAAAAGTAAACATGAGCATCAGCTGCAACTACATGATTTCATGAAAATGGCGAGTAGAGTCGCTTGCGGCTTCGCGAGACGTCCCGCTTATAAGCGCCGAGTTTCTACAGGCTCCTTACAACTCATTGAGGCACGTCAACTTACTACGGATGACCGAGAGTTTGACCATAACCGAAGAATAATCCGTAATGAAACTGGCATAAGCTTGCGTAGAGACAAGGTTTGATGGTCGGAGCGTCCTGACGAGTGAGAAGCAGCAGTCGCATCTGGGAGTTCCACAAGCTCTTTCAACTCATCCGAGTCACTGGTAGCAAGAAGTGTGGTGTGTTAAACAATCTGTGAAACTGAAAATATGCCAATCAATAACATCTACTGACGCCTTGAATGATGGGCAGAGTATCTGAGGGGCAGTCCAACTGATCTGCAACCACTTCAACACCGGTAAGACTGTCCGGCCTCCCCATGATCAGCGGGATGAGTCGATAGCTGCCAGCCAAATATTAGAACACCATCACTCATATAACAGACCAACAATCGTAGTATCTCGACATTAGGGACGCCTTCGACTCTTTGGACAGGACTGTACTCTGGGACTGTCTACTGAAGAAGTGTGCCTGAGAAGTTTAATATCTTGAAAGCCGTATATAGTAAAACCTCAGGCAGAGTGAGGGCATACAACCATCTCTCTCCACTGTTCCATTCGACCAGTGGGGTTATGTAGGACTGCCGAATCTCACCATTCCTTTTCAATTTAGTCATCGATAACATTCCGGAAACAACTCTCACGGATGAAGATGATGGTGGTGTAGATTTTTTTCCTGAAGGAAGACATTTCAACCTTGAGTACGCGGATGATACTGTCTTACTGTGCGATAATGTCCAAGCCATGTAATCCCACTTAGTCAATTAGCAATCAGTGTCCGTAAGAATGGTGTATGTGTAAAGTACCCTTATAAGACTGGTAACACTCTGATCCCGCACTCATTCCGCGTATTGAGAAGACAGTAGTCGAGAAGTTCGTGTATCTAGGTAGCTGCATAAGTGCTGGTGGTGGCGTGAGTGATGAGACCGATCCACGTATAGTGAAAGCCAGAGCGGCTCATGCCAATCTGGGCCATCTTTGGCGCCTTCGTGATGTCAGTCTGGCCGTAAACGTTCGGATCGACAACGCGTCGGTGAGACCACTTTTGCTCTATGCTTGTGAAACCTGGCCTCTCCGAGTTGAGGATGTTAGACTACTCTCTGTGTTTGATCATCGTTGTTGCCGTAGGATTGCTGACATCCAATGGCAACATAATGATAGTAATGCAGAGGTCCGGCATCGTGTGTTTGGGTGCAGAGACGATAATTTCATTGGTGTCACTATGTTGAAACATAGATTTCGGTGGCATGGACATGTTCTACGAATGTCGTCTCAGAGAACTACTTTTCATACATTATTAACAACACTGGGACTAGTTGTGAAAAGCCGAGTGGTGATCAGCGCACAGCATAGCGTCATAGTATGAAAGGAAGCTGTACAGGACTGGCTTCTGTTGGACCTTCACGACTCCCTGGTTGGGCTCCTGGAGACAGTGAAAAACAGTGGCTTCAGATGTTATCAAAAACGGCTCAGAGTAGAAGCCAGTGGCGATCCTGCTATGACTTTACTTTCTTCATAAAAGTAAACGTGATTTCTTTGACTGAAATTCTTTCTTGTATTTCTTTCTCTAAATGAATTGTTCATCACATTATTATCATTATTACTATCACTAGTATAGTTATTATTACCATTGTTATTTTACTCTCATTCACCAATTTCTGTTCGTTGTTGCTTTTCCTTTATAATACTAACCCTCCATTCTCTAGTTCTTCACAACCTTGTTATTATCGTGTAGCGCATTTGTATTTAGTGCCCCTTTGTACTAACTTTTATGTGTCCAAATAAATAGATTATAAGATGAAAATGCTTAACCTTCATAAGTTATTTGTATCAATGTTTCAAAATATAAACACGATACTTAGTCGACATTAGGACATGAACAATTGAGAAATAAATTGTAAATAAACATATCTCAGTAGAAAGTAAACTTAAAGACAGTAATGGTACACTTGTAGTATGTACTAATTAATCCAGAAAGATATTTACAACCTTTTATACTTATGAAGAAAAAACACCGAATCCAATCATCTTAATTAAATATATATTGAAAAAGAGAAAACAGAAAGCAAAAATTTAAATACAATAAAAGTACACTTTATTTTCAATGGTAAAAAGACAATTAAAATGAATACCCTTGACATGATATACGCATATATATATATATATATATATATATATATATATATATATTATATATATATATATATATATATATATATAATTGCAAATGATGAAAATATAACAGTTAAATGCTTTAACACTTTACTTAAACAAACAAATACACCAGGTAGTATTTTGCGTTAATTCCCTTATTTCTAAGAAAAAAAAGAGAGGTAAAATTAAGATCAAAAATAAGAGGATGAAGCAAATGAAGAAAAAAAAGGGAGGAAATGTTAAATAGTACATTTCAGTGAGAATGAATGAATTATACCGGTTTGTCAAAAAAAAACAGAAATTAATATACCAAAATATTATTATTATTAATAAGACCTCTAACGAACTGGTTGGGCAGCAGCACATAACAGTGACTTTACAACATGTTATCATTCATGCTATTCCAGTAATAATAATTTTCTTTTTAAAAATGGGTGAAAATTATTAGAGAAATAGAAAGAATATACATAATAAATTATAATTAAACAATTGAAAAGTGAATAGAACAAAAATTAATGACAATAATATTGAATTTAAAAAAAATTCATATACCTATAACAATGGACAACGAAAAAAAAGAATAATGAAATCAAGTCATGATTATAATTCAATTAATACTAACTAGTATTACTTAACAATAAAATAATGTAAATGTAATACGTATATTATAATATAACTTAGCGTACGCATTACATA